CACGCCTGACAAGACATGGAAAACAATTGATAAATTATTGAACCGGTCAGCACAATTAAACAATGTCACCAAGATAAAGGTCGGAGAATCAACCTTACCAGAAAAGGCCCTAGCTGATTCATTTAACAATTATTTTGTACACCTAGTACAGGGCAGACAAAGCAGCGATGTACCAAGTTATTTGGGTCTGGGAACACCGAATGAGAACAGAGCTTTCCTCGCCCCCACTGATGAAAATTAGGTTCATCATATGTTTAACACAATTAAGAATAGAAAATGTACGGATCGTGACAACATTCAAATCATTCCTGTTAAATATGTACAAGACATACTAACAGCCCTAATTATCCATATTTTCAACATTTTTCATCCGGAACCTTTCCTAAAAAATGCAAATTGCGAAAGTTATAGTTATTTTTAAAGGTGGAGACATAAACGATCATTGAAACTACGGACCGATTTCTATTCTTCCTGTGTTTTTGAAGTGTCTTGAGAAAATTATTCATTGCCGTATGACTTCCTTTTGTGACTGTTTCTTGCTAAAAACCTCATCACAATATGGTTTCCGAAAGAGTAAATCAACTAAACCTGCGCTACTAAATCAAAAAGAATTCATTTTGAAATTATTTGAGCGAAAACTTTTAACTCTTGGTGTCCTTTGTTCATTTCTCTAAAGCATTTGATCACATAAATCGTACCACTTTAATTAATAAACTTCAGTTTTATGGATTTCGTAGGCTAACCCCAAACCTGTTAACGTTATACTTAGAGTTTCGTAAACAATCTGCTTTTATAAACAACTATTCTTCAGACTTTCAAGAATAAAAACAGGTGTCCCGTAAGCCAACAATATCGACCCACTTGCAGAGACCACTAACAACACATTGGAATATTTACATAAATGGAGCGAAGCCAACTCTCTACAAATTAATACATCTACAACAAAAGCGAATATTTTTAAGCCACACAATAAATTTGTAAATATTGACTTGCACCTTAAACTTGGCCCCTCTAGCATTGAAGTTGTTCCAAATGTAAAAACCTTAAGTGTAATGTTTAATGAAAACATGTTATGGGCTACCCACATTCAAATTGTAATAAAACAATTTCAAGTGTATTTGGCATTCTCAGCCAGTTCCGTTCTAGTTTACCAGTCAAAATTAAGTGTCTCATTTGCAAACCTTTATTCATGTCACATTTGAATTATTGTCACTTCATCTGGGACTTATCAACTACAACTAACTTGGACAAGTTAACAATCCTCGAAATAAAGGAAATCCGAGCTATAATGAATGTACCACAATCAACCCACACGAGACCGTTGCTTAAATCATTAAGCGTCCTATCCCTAAACAAATTCTATGAGTACACCTTACTTATTCAGTATATAGCAAGCATTAAACAAAAGACGCGTGACATTAGTAACATATCAACATTAAGAAGAAATATTAGACCTTATAACGTACGTCACGAGGAAGTATGGAGAATTCCATTCAGTCGAACCACCTATGGAACTAAAATGTTAAAACATCGTCTTACTTTTTTACTAAACCAGTTAATTGACAATAACGTTATGATTGAAATTGATGTTTCTGTGAATATTTACGTCATACAATTGTATTTTAGAATTTAAAGTGTACATTTTTGTTGCCATTGTAATCTATAGCTCAATTTGAATCGTGCATTTCACTTATTGCTAGAGTGATTATTTTTTTGTTAAGTATTTCTCTTTCTTTTTTTTTTTGCTTGCCGTCTGCTAAAAAAAAGAAGGCGTGAACCTCGTCAAGCCGGCATATGTCGGCTTTTTTTTTATGCCTCCAGTGCCTGTATTATTGTACAGAAGCAAATAAACAATTGATTGATTGATTGATGGGTTCATTGGGTGATTGATTGATTGATTGATTGAAAAGCCGTCGCAAGGCGTGTGAAAAAGCTTTTAGTCACTAGCCAGGTTGGCGTTTGTAAAGGTTCTGCCTGTTGACCTGACTTTCCCTGCGAGTCTTGAGGATGTAATCTTTCGGAGCAGGGGAGTGTCAAGGGAGGCCCTCCAGTCTCCAGTTGCACCCATCCACAATGTATAGAAGTCAAGACTCAGGACAGTATCTACGCGACTGTGTCTTTCGGCGTTTCTAAAATTCGCGAAAGTGTTACCTGAGCGCCGCAAACTCCGGACGCTTCTACATACAACCCCAGGGAACTGCTATAGTAGCTCTGGATACCGGACGCCTCTGCATCCGACTTTTCTTTCGCAATACGCCCTAAAAGGCGTCTTTTCGGCTGTCTTTGTATTCAGTAGGAAAGTGAAATAACAGACCTATACTGAACACAATCACGGTAAACATAGAAAATCCCAGCAAGTGATGAACCTCAAAATACACATTTTGTTTTCATGCGAAAGCAGTAACTATTTCATGGAGCGGAGCCGGTGGCGTCTGTAACCACGAAAAAACGCGAAAGAACTGTGCATTTACCCATTGGCTGAGCAAAATGGCTTTCAGATAGCCATTGGCGGCCGCTTCACGAGAGCGCGCGCTCGGCCGCCGCTGTCGTGTCAGGCGTTGTCTGAGCGGGGTGGGGGGCTGCGGCCGCTTCTGCTCCTTTCGGTGCCGAGAAACATGGTGGCGCCTGAGGCATCTATAAGGTGGTTCAGGTCACCAGGCTCGATCTAAAATGGACCGTAAAAATCGACGCCTGCACAAAGCCATCTAAACTTTTCGTCAAAGGTGTAATTCACAGGTCGTTTTTTTCTTGTAAAATTATAAAGCGAAGCTCTCTTTTTGTAAAAAAATAAGGGCAAGAAACTTGCCAGGGTCTACGGCGGGCATCAACGCAGACGACAGGGGTCCAGTAGCGGGGTGTGTTTGGCGTTAGTATTGATAGGTGGCGCTACCTCCTTATCGTGACGGCTCGCGACCACCGTGGTTTATTAAAATGAATATAATCCTTCTGAAATGTACCTTCGGTTAAAAAAATAAATGCGAACAATAAAAGCAAAGCTTAAAGTAAAAAAGCGCGTCTGCATAACGGCGGCGCTTTTGCTGACAACGGATTTCGTCTGCGTGTCGTCTGCTATCTTTCGCTGGACGGCTGCACCTTCGGACGCTGCTTCCGGCGCCATCTATCAATACGAACGCCAAACACACCCTGGTACTGGACTTGGTCGTCTGGGTTGCCGTTCGCCGTAGACCCTGGCAAGTTTCTTGGCCCTATATTTTACAGTAAGAGAAGTACGCTTTGTAATTTTACAAGAAAAAACCGACCTGTGAAATACACCTTTGACGAAAAGATTAGATGGCTACGAGCAGGCGTCGATTTTTACGGTCCATTTTAGATCGAGCCTGGTGACTATTACCACCCTATATATCGTCGGCGGCCGCAACCTCGGCAGTAGCGAAATGTGGGCGTCCACGCCAGAACACCGCAGACGGGAGAGGAAGAACGACATTCATGCTTTCGCATTCGCTACTCATAAGAAGTGCTTAGCTATCCTCGGAGTTTTCTTAGGGAGGGGAGGGGGCGGGGGGGTTAGGGAGTCTTATTGTATACCAAGCTTCGCCATTCGCTGAGACCCTTTTGTTGGTCACTGTGATTGTATCTCTGTGTGCTCTGTAGGAAAGTGAATTCACAAACGTTTTCTGGGTGCTCGCTTCACCACTGCGCGCGCAACAAGCTCTTCCGAGGTAAATACATATATTCAGCGCATGTTTTACACGTTATTCGGTTCTAATCATAATTGCGTGATCATGGCCCACTCATATATACGACATTCCTGTTTCTTCTCGTGCAAAAGTGATTGAAAATATGGCAGAGTTACGTCACGTGTGGATGCCCCCCGTCAAGTAAAGAGGACGAATGGATAGTCACACGGAGGACCGCAAATCTGCCGTAAAAAGGTATTGACTTAGTTATACCTCTATATTTCCAAACCTTGGCGCAACAATTACCCATATAGAGTGTAGTAGTGGGATAGTTCACTCAGAAGACAGCCAGTTAGAAAAAGAAACGATAAATTACTGGTGATCTCTTCCTTATGAGGAGCGCAAGTTCGTCTGCTTCTTTTGCAGGGGGTTGTTGTGACGTCAGAGAGACGCCGAGCTCTGATTGGCTCTGATTGGAAGGATAGTGCATAGACCTCAAGGAAGCTTGCTTTGACGTCTGCCCACTACGCTTTAATTGGAGCCAATCTTTAGACGGCAGTCTGACGTCACCGAAACCCCCTCCAAAAGAAGCAGACGAACTTGCGTTCCGCATACTAGCGCGGGAGGCCTCTGAAGAGAAATGAATTAATTCGTGTTTATTTCACGACATGTAAAACATATTGGACAAGCTACTCCAAAACCGGTACAGAAATTTTGGGTTAAGTATACAGTCTTACAAGATGAAAGATATGTTAATTCATGTAAAACAAAGATGACAGTTAGTCCAAGAGAAAACATGACAAATAAACAAAACAGCAAGCCTAATATGGAAGGCATGACGATATTATAAAATAGTTTGAGCATAATGGAGAACGTTCTCGGCATACTAAATAAGACATACACTCTCAATTATGCACGACCAAATTACCAAGCACTAAACGCTTCAAGGGCGCTCTACATTTAGCGGCAGTGTTCTCCGAAAGGAATTTCTCTAGACACATGGTACAAGGGCTTGAACTGCGTATAGGGAGTATTACTGGCGGCCATATTCGTGTGCGCTGCTGTTGAGCGACTACTGACGGCGAGCTTCCGCAGTCCTTTTGGAGCGTGCATTTAGCACCATCAAGGTCGTTCTGAGCATGCGCTCTAAACAGCACCCACAAATATGGCGTCCAGTGAATACTCTCTATACGCCCACTAAAGAGACCGTTCCGAGCGTAATTCGATACATTGAAACCCAACACCGACTCCTTGAGCTCCGCCCCCTCAGCTTTCGGGAGTTGTATAGCGCACGCGCTTCCGCTTCGCGTTGTGGCGCCGAGCCACGCGAAGCGGCCCCCGCGGAGATACCTCAGCCCCCATATGGGGGTCCGCTGGATCACCCTCTTCGCCCTGATTGGATGGCGACATGGACTCGTTACATGCGGTGGGTCACATTGCTTTCAACCGTCTCTTTCGCTTAAAGTCCCAGTCACACTGTTCATATACATCGTATCTACAAAGGACAAGGAGTTTCTCTGCAGAAATGATGACAGGTTGCTTCATATCTCATGTATGCTTTGAGCATATCTGTAGACAGTTTTTGTACTACCAGTCTGTCAAAAAGGACTGTCGAAAACACGCATCAGACCGTGTCTGCAGACTCTCTTTTGTATGATGTTTAAGGAGCGCGACCGCGGCTTTAGAGAGCGCATTAAAATGTAATTTTACGTATCAGATATCCCATATCTCGACGTCGGCGCAAGGCGGCGCTAGGTGGCGGAAGCTACCGCCCTTTACAAAGGGTATAGCCATTAACATTCATCCATCCATTCAACATCTGAACCAGTGAAGTTATAAGTTTTGAAACAATAAAAAAAAAAAAAAAAGAAGTTTGTATTCTTTCCGAAGGTTCCCAGGAGTAAAACGCCGTTTCGTCATGAAGCACCCAGTGGTTTTTAAAGAGTTTGAGAAACGGGCGCAAACGTGTCGGATAAAAAGGCGCGATTTTTACTGCATGAGTTGCATCGTCTGCGTCACTGTTCTCGCCAAATAAGCGCGGCATCGATTTTGAGTGCTGCGGAGCTGACGGTGAATATTTTATCATGTAATCTTCCCAGACCTCATTTTCGAGTTATAGATTCACAGTGTTGGAAACTATTATAACGGCCTGCCGACGCCTGTGATGGGTGCGAAGCAGCTGACTTTGTCTCGCGATAGCGTGCTTGCAGGCACTAGGGGGCCACCAGTAGCCCGAGGTGTTTGCCTGTTCTAAATCTATTCCAAGTATTTTCGGTTGAATCGCGGCAGCGTTCTGTGTAAAGACCCGACAATAGACGTAGCGTCCTCGTTAAGCCTTATGGAGCTCAATTCGCTCGAGATGTCGACAAGATGCAGACGAGGGAGAAACTCTGCTGCCCTGCTTTCAGGCACGAAAGTTTCATCTTCTCTGAAGAAACATCGGTTAGAAGATCGTTAATTCCTTTATGGGGGGAATATATAGACTATAAGATTCATGTCACAGCGTCCGCGCAAGTTGCTATGGAAACTTTAGCCCGGAAGAAATGCAATCGCATTTAAAAATTATTTTGTGGTTCCTCATATTTTACGTGACGTACAGAATCTAAGTGAAACGCGCTGACTGTCTTATCTCTTTACGCGATTTTTCTTTGTGCTTTTACAGACGAAGAATACGTGTCTCACAGCCAGCTCTTACGGGCCAAGCTCTTCGATCCGTCGAAGTACGACGTGCACCGGCGCCCCACCAAGGACAGTTCGAGCGCTACCGAAGTGTCTCTACATTTCTATGGGGAAGAGGTCGCGTACATGGTAGGTATACTTCACCCTCACGTGCATACGCAATACGTCGCTAACCCTTACCAGTCATTGCGCATGAACGTTGATGACCACGCAGAATCTCCAAGATGACTGGCTCGCCCTCGCCATGGTCACGTGCAAAGTAAGTATAGAGCTCGTTTCGCAATTTCACGCTGTACAATCACTAAAAAAAGTATTAAGTTCATTTTTTTACGTAAAACGCAAAAAATACAACAAAAGAAACGAACAATTACGCCGAACAATAAAAAGCATGCTAGCGATTGATGAAGCTCAGCATACGACCAGACAAAGTTGAAAAGAAACAGCAGCAGCTGGATATGCACATTAGGCATGGACATTGAGCATGGCGTTTCACTTGCTCAACGTCCCATGCCCAATGCCCAACGCGTGACGAGTCCCGCGCATCTTCTGATATCGCTCCAGGGCCAATGATATTTTTGAATGGGGCACTAGGAGCAGCACGTGAAAAATGCAATCTACTGAGGGAGCTAAAAAAAAAGAGTATGCCCAGTGTGCCACTGTGCATGCTGTTATATTTTTTTTCAAGCATGATGTTTTATTAAGCGTAGCGCCACAACGCATAACGTTATTTATTTATTTTTTCGGGGGAGGAAGGGAGGGGGGGGGGGGATTAAACATATCAGCCTCGCGTTATTCGCCGAGCGATCCTCCGTAGACTGCAGCGATTGGCTTTCCCAACTGCTTTGTGGGAGGGCAGACGCTTCAGATGTCGAAAACTAATATCAATTTTACCATATGCTCTCAATTTCCTTGCTACTTTGGTCTTTTCTTTCTTGTTGTTGTTGTTACTGCATTGTTTTGTAGATTCGTGACTCACATTATCGAAGCCGTTCACTGCAACACTCTCGGGTCACGTATAGGCGTGTTACTCCGCAGTGCCTTCCTGTATACGGAGACTACGCGATGTGTAATATATTATGGATACGGAGTCCTCCACCCGACAACCTGGTCCAGCTGACAAGTTCCTCCGCAGATACATTGGGTCTTACCGCCTCATCGATCAAACATCCCCCGTTTCCTATAACTCTCCGCTCCCACAGCGTGTCTTCCTCGATATAGATTTTTTACTATGGGACCGTTCTTCGGCTGGGCCAGGGAGCGCGCTGGAGCGATAGCAGTGGCGCCGCGCCGTGGCGCGAATTCGCCCAAATTAGCCGTTCGCTCGTCCTATCGCGCTGCCAGTTGCAATGGCGAGCACCGCGTTGAGGTTTTCTGTCTGCTGAAAAACTGATAATCTTTTAGGGGGCAAACCTCCGCAAAGAAAGGTTCCCTGTGTGTCAGATCCCTGGGGTGGAGGAAATAATCCAGGCGTAAGAACATTTTTTCGACTGCGATGTCTTCTCGCAAGTGCAAGACAGCGTCGACTGTAACATCCATTTCAAGATAAATGCTGTTTTTGTTTATGGTTTCGCTCGCTGTTCAAAGTTAGAGCTATCCGGACTAAGACAGACTAAGATGAGGATACAATATTGTTTAAATTTTCTTTTCGCGCACAGCTGGGCTGTCGCATACACTCCTTGAACTCAGGTCAGTGCTCTTAGAAACTCGGAGTTATCGGCTGCTGCATGGAAGCATGCCAGGCCTGTCCTAATTCATCCAAATGAAGTTAATGACGAGGCATGCACAGCCTGATCGCAGCACTTGCTCAAGTTCTAATAAGAAACCGAAACGGAACGTCAATAACGCCATCGCTAATCTGTTTCCAGGTATTTTAAATAAACCAAACAAAAAAAAAAAGAGAAATTTTTAATATACGCTTTGACACCTTGCTGTGTATGTGCTCATCTGCCGCTGCCACCAAAGTGGTAGAATCGCAATTCATGTACGTGCGTCAGTAACCCACTTATAATTTTATTACTGAAGAGAGTGATCTCCAATCAATTTGCATTGGCGTCGTAAAGCGTCGCCTTTTTTTTTAACTAATTTTTATGTGACCGCATAATGATAAGTTTGAACACTGTTGCGGTTCAGCATGCACAGCCTGATCGCAGCACTTGCTCAAGTTCTAATAAGAAACCGAAACGGAACGTCAATAACGCCATCGCTAATCTGTTTCCAGGTATTTTAAATAAACCAAACAAAAAAAAAAGAGAAATTTTTAATATACGCTTTGACACCTTGCTGTGTATGTGCTCATCTGCCGCTGCCACCAAAGTGGTAGAATCGCAATTCATGTACGTGCGTCAGTAACCCACTTATAATTTTATTACTGAAGAGAGTGATCTCCAATCAATTTGCATTGGCGTCGTAAAGCGTCGCCTTTTTTTTTAACTAATTTTTATGTGACCGCATAATGATAAGTTTGAACACTGTTGCGGTTGACTACTAATAAGATTTTTTGCGTCACTATTTGTTTTGTTTGCTGTTTAGGTACAATTATACATCGTCTCATCTTAGCATGGACTATTGTTAGCCGTGCATGCTGAAAGCGCGAGTTAGTTGCTTTAGATAAAGCCTTGGCGGCTGCGCGAGCGCTCGTGCAGCTAAAGCTCCAGTTAAGGCAGTCAAGGCTACCTGCTCGCGCCTACACAGCCCTCGTAGTTAATAATAATAAATTTTATTTCCATCGATTGTGATGGTGGGACCCGTGGAAAAAAGCTGCGAGATGCAGCTTGACTGGTCCTCGGGTCCCTACAATGGTCAGCAGCAACGGATCGGAAATAAAACTGAGAAGAAAAAAAAATATAATAAAAAAAAAAATACACACAAAAGCTAACAATTTAAAGATACATAACTACGCACTTGCCTGTTTTTTTTAAGCAAATAGACAAACATAAAAAGCAACTATTAAAATTTACAAAACTATACTATACTAGTCCGTGCTAAGGTGAGACGTAGTATAAATTTGATACATCTTGAGTCTCTGTGCCAGCAAAAAATAGTCAATATTACTTCACTCTTTCTGCAATAAAAGTTAATTTAATTTTAAATTTCAGCCCTCATTATTTAGTGTTTGACCTTTGTGACGTCCCTTGTCCTCGTGCTGCTTTCAATTTATACATCTAACATTGACAACACACTCTATTGGTTGACCGAGGAATGTCCTAGGCTCTAATGTTTTAGTGTTCCTTGGAAAGTAATTATGTCTGTTGTAGGTTATTTTAATAATAAATAAAAAAAATCTAGAGTACAGCCGTCAGTGTAAATCTTTTTTCAACTATGCGCTCAAGTCAGTGCGCATTACCGGCTACGATTATCGGCCTCATTTTTCCCAGTGTCTTTCGCTGCTTACACGCCTCTTCTTGCAAGCATCGTGGAACGAAATTGATAGAAATTACATAGAGCTCAGGCGGGCTGGGGTGCATATCAACAATTTGGATGAATTGCCTGAGATGGGGCGAAAAAACTAAAAATACTAACCGTGGTAGAGAGATATTTTTTTCTGTCTCTTCCACGGTTGATGTTTCTAGTTTTCTCGACCCTGTCTCCAGTAATTCATCAAAATGGAAAATTGGTATAAGTAAGCAAATAAGCTGGGTTCTCAAATTTAAAGTTGTTTAAAAATAGTAACTGCATAATCGGGTTTATATTGTCAACAGCCATTCGGAACCATCGTAGCTATTACATAAGGAACGTCTAACATTGCCAACACGCTCCAATTGGTCGACCCAGCAATGTTCTAGTGTCTAATATCGAGTTCCTTGGAAAGTAATTATACATGTTGTGGGCTAACTATATATTTTTAATAATATATATAAGAAACTAGGATACAGCCGTAAATATTTTTTTTTTCGATTATGCGTTCAAGTCAGTACGCAATAGGGGCTACGATTATCTGCCTAATTTTTTCTCAAGTCTTTTGTCGCTTACTCGCTTTCTCTTGTTTATATCGGGGAACAAAATCGGCGGGTAAGCAAAGTGAGCTTGGTTGGTTGTTTAAAAAAAATAGTAACTGCATATTCGAGGTTACTTTGTCGACATCCATGAGAAACCATTATGGCTATTACATTAGAAACTTAACGTTAGCGTCAGATGGCTGGCCCACACGAGCTCAGTCCGCCCTCAAAGTGACGGCTCCCCCAAGCAACGCAAAACACTCGCATACTCTCGTGTGTGCACTCGTGGAAATGTAATCTCCGAAAAGTCCCTATTGACGTGAGAAGTAAGCGTAGCTGCATTGTTGAATCATGCGACAAGATAGAGGAACATTAATTAAACCTGTCCTCCGCACAGCTGGCGATTCATGCTTCTGGCGATCTTGTATCACCTCCCAGGAACCAAATAAGACTTTTCGGGAAACAGATACCCTTCTGTTCAATACGATGCTGTGGCATTTGAGTACCTTTTGCATTCGGTACATTACTTTACGAAGCGCGAGGCCAGCACGACAGACGCACCCTGCCTCTCGCGTCGTCTGCTCCTCGTACTGCTAACAAGTATGGGCGCACCTCGCCAGGGGGAGCTGTGGCGCTGCGTATGCGCGGCAAAACTTCAGCCGCACAGCCCCATGGTGCTTGCTCATTTGATCGTTTTGTTGGCTTATTGGCTTATAATCGAACCCGTCCATACTCTGTTCCATCTTACAACGAGCCGGTGATGGCGCAACAAGCCAGCGGGTCGTAGAGATGCCGTCGAATCTAGCGCGGTGAATGTGTCACGTCACTGCGTGTGCCGTGCATTGCTGCGCAATTCCCGAAGGTCACGTGGCACACAGACACACGTCATCGGGTTGGCTCCGACGGCTTGTGGCACCCGCTGCGTTCCGTCGCAAGCTAAAACTGAATCGAGACCAACATGCGTCGCTTACAATCAAATCCGCGTTTCCACCACCCGTGCTACGGAACCACGATTTCCATCGGGCGAAGTTTCTGCTCACGCGCCGGGCCGACAGCAGCGCCACCGTAGCGACATGACGTGAGAGGACTGAGTTGGTATCGAGAGTACATACTGGTAAGCGTGATACTCATAAGACCCTGCTTTTACCCGCTGCAGAAATGGTACGACCGCACTCTCCGGTGGAATCGGGGCGACTACGGAGGACTCCAGAGCATCGATGTCTTCCTGAGCGAGATCTGGAATCCGGATATTCAAATCGTCAACACGTACGTTCGAGATGAGCAGCACAAACAGAAAATAAATTATAGAGAAATAAAAAAGAAGTATAATATGCCCTGTTGAAGGTTGTTGAGCAATGGTTGTTGAGTTGTTATTATAGTAATTGACAGCTTAAGAAATGCAGAACGTCACTAATAGTGTTCATGCTTCATACCTTGTGATTCGTCCTCTGGCGTTCTCATCAGATAATGGCCGAAGCTCATTGACTGCGGAGTGATAAGATGGCACGAGACGCTCTGCGTTTACCCGGTGACTGTAGTGCCATACTACTAATTAGGACACGTGCCAAGAGCCACCATGAAGCATCGTCCTTTTTATTGTTTTTCAGAAGCCCCGATGATTACACACCGCAGACGATCATGGCTTCCCTGTACCACGACGGAGAGTTGTGGTTCTGTCAGACGGCCACGGTCAAGGTACCCTGTCCGATGGACCTCACGGACTATCCGTTCGACAGCCAGGTCTGCAGGATACGCTTTGCGTTGCTAGCTTACGAGGACGATGAGGTCAGGCTGGGTGGCGAGGGGACCTTAAACCCCAGCGTGACCAACCAGAGTTCAGAGTGGCAAGTCACCTTCCTGGACACGTCCCACGGAACGCTCCTCAACAAGACGACCCTGGACATGGCCATAGGGATGAAGAGACGTTGCACTCATCATCGTTACACAGCCACGCTGCCGTGGGTCGCGTCGGTCATCATGATGCTTCTGGGTTTCTGGATGCCCACCAACTCAAGCCGCAGGCTGACTTTGGCGTGCATCAACCTGCTGCTTATCATGCTGATGCTCCAGCGGATCACAGTGCTACTGAAGACGTCTTCGGCAGTTCCTAAGATAGGTGGGTTTCTCTTCCTGAGCAATAATGACCTTCATGCCTTTGTCTAAAAAAATTTCAGAGAAAGAGAAAGAAAGAAATGTGGTGGAGGTAGCTTTAATGCGTGAATCTCGAGTTCTATTGTATACGTCTGCATACCTCTCAAAAGACGTCGGTACACGGTTACATTCCTAGACTGGTACCCCGACACAAAATTCGGTGCCTGCTATGTAGTAGTCACTTGTCAAAATAATTTAACACGTTGCTCCCAGGCTACTCAGTACCAGGTCCTGTTTATTATTCGACAATAACGACCCGAAATTTCGAGGGTCCGAAACGCACATCGCGGAGTCATTCAGGAATCTGGCTCACAGCACGCGCTCAACAGCACCAAACTCAGCAATGGTGGCCAGTGAATAACATTTCCACTCCCGAAAAATCCGGAGCGACTACCGCAAAACATTTGTACTACGTGATTGTGAGTTCGTGTGAAGCGCTGCCGCCAACTATTGGCTGTTGCGCAGTTCAAACTTGTGTCGTTTGCAGACGGACGACGTAACTGACACTATAGCGTCCTCTTTTTCTTACCTCTTTCAGGCACGTTCATCCTTTGAACACGCTCATGCTTTGAAATGTTGATTCATCAAATGCACCGCCTAGGGTCACCTCTGCAATAAATCGTAGCGCGATACGTTAAGACACCCATTTATGCAGCCTCTTCAAAGGGCAAACGTGCCATCGGGTTCGCACTGCTAAGTTGCCGTTGCCTAAGGAACGGAACACCGCAGTGACTCTATAGAAACAACGGCGTGTACTCGTATAAATGCTCTTCCCTATTTGCTGTGTTGTCCACAACAAAGATGCCGCTACTGCGCTTGTGCGCCGCTAGCCTTAGCTGTAGAGATCCAGATCTAGTATATCCGGTTGTGCAAAGCGTTGCAAGACGGCGCAAATGATGCGCGAAAACTCCCTACAGTCACTGAGAGGATGAGAACCGCAGGAAGGTCTTTCAGTTGTCCAGCCTCCCGCGCGAGCTTTCTGCCTTCGATAACACCTCGGCGTCTCGTAAGCCTCGAGTTCGCACACGCAGCCAAAGCACGGTGGAAGGCAAGGAGCGCGTGCTGAAGGCCATTCGAGAACAACGCCCAACCGTCCTCATCCCCTCGGTGACCATAGTAATAGATGCCCTTTTCTTCATGGTCGTAGTGTGACGCTAATAGGGACTTTTAGCAAACCTTTACCGTGTTCCGCGTACCGCACTAACGGAGCCTTCGAAGCATGCTTTTAAGCGCGCGCCCGGGTGATACCGTGTCCGCGAGCGCGCGCTTAAAAGCATGCTTCGGAGGCTCCTCCGGTGGCGCGGTGTACGCGGAACACTATAACGGTTTGCTAAAAGTTCCCCATACCGCATTCACATACGTAGCTCATACATCATACAGAAAACGATCTACCAACACTAGAGAGTTTTAGGGAACGGTTTTTGCACATCCGATACGGTATTCAATGGGCCCTCCGGGACGAACTGCGCATGCGCTACAGCAGAAGACTCGCGCATGCGCAGTTCGTACCGGAGGGCCAATCGCATCGTATCGGATGTGCAAAAACGGTTCCCTAAAACTGTCTACTGTCTGAGGCGTGTTTTTTTCTTGCGTGACGGTCGGCGTAAGATTGGTCATGCAAAAAACTGTCTGCAAAAAGGTAAACATACTTCGAATAAGCCTGAGGCGTGTCCACAGACAATTTAGTCATCGTGTCTGCAATGAAATGCTCATACATATTACTTTTGTATGATGTACGAGCTGCATAACGCTCGCTTTGTTCGGTTGCAGCCTTGTTTCTCGGGAACGCGATGGTGATACAAGTCGTAGCGGCGGTCGTGGCGGTTCTGGTGCTCAACATGGATTCCTCCACGATGCCGATCAAGGTGCCCGAACCCGTGGTCCGGCTCCTGACCGGTACGGCCGGGAGGTTTCTTTGCTTGGCTCAGGAAGGCGTCAGGGCGGACCAGCGTCTGGAGGATTCCGAAAACCCCTTTCCCGCAAGAAAGAACGACCTGGAGAGGAAGTGCGACTGGCTGCTCGTGGCTCAAGCCTTGGACAGACTGTTCTTTGTGCTGTTCGGCATTGTGACTCTCTGCGTCATGCCGTGGTGAATATGTGGCATTAGTACAAAATAAACTTTGTGCTCTTTGGCATTAGTACATAATGAACGAGAAACACGTGTTCGCGATGGCGTAATTTTACTGGAAGCCACAGTTTGCGCTGAATTCTGATTCCGCCGAACCTTTCCTAATAATCTATTTAAAATATGCGGCTATACAGCTTCATCATTTTCCTTTTCAATCAAGCCCTGGTTTTGCGAGTAAGTTCAATATATTACAGACTGGTGGTACGCAACAAACAAGTACAGAGATACGCGGTAGACGAGTGCTGAACTTCAACTAAACGTTTATCGAAACCAAGTACAAAGAAAATAACAGTCACGCCGTAGTCACGTCAACACGTACCTCAAAAAAGCCAGCTCTTTTATTTTTTTTTTTTTTGTAAATAAACCGAAGATTGCTTTACGCATTTACCCACCCCCTCTTTTCTTGTCTTGTACGCTTCCAAACGTTCTCTGGCAGTCTTCTTACCTCACCCCCTTCCCCCCAAACCAAAAAAAAAGAAAGAAAGTCATGATGTCATATTTTGATGACAGCTTCATGTGCACGCTGCTAAGGAATATGGCCCCCTGATGTTGACCGGAGCGACAATGCATGCTAACGGGCTCAGTCATTTGAACGTCGACCGGTTTGGAAAATGTGTACAATAGTCGGCGACGGGTTAAGAGATCAAAGAAAGCTCCTCCCCCTGTTTCCACTTTAGCAGAGCGAACGCTGGAGAGGAGGTCGCCTCCTTTGCAACATTCGCTCCGCTCAAGTGGAAAGAGGTGGGAGGAGCTTTTCCTGATCTCTTAATTTGTCACCGACTATAGAGTATATTAAATTAGATTTAAGTTAGATTTAATCGAGCTTACTTTTACCCAACGAGCGATACGACTAGGTGATGTTCAATCTACAGTCAGCGACAACTTTAGAAATATAGAGTTCTTGGTTAATGCTTGACCAAAGGACAAGCACGAAGCGCTTCAATGGCACTCCAAATCAAGATAACGTTGTCAAAACTATTATCGCTTGTGCGAGTGAGACGCCAGACTATGTAACGTGCTCTTGAAGCAGACCGGCGCTACAGCACTGTGGGAACTGTGCTAGCCTTGACAACGCAATACAAGATATGGACGTTTTGCAGCAGCGCCGCCGTAAGCGACCCTCTATTTTTGTTTTCTCTTACTAAGTTTACTTTACTTCATCGTGACTACAGCAGGACAGGCTATCGCCATTTTAGATTCAACTGTGTCCCTCTCCCTAGCATTGGCATTCGTGTAAGCGCGTCAACGACCGCTTCACTGGCTCGGCACCTGGGCAAGACAAGAGAAGGTTAGCAATGGCGGCTGTTATCTGGCGCATCCGTAAAGCGTCTGTACTTGACGCCAATTGCAGACCTTTCCACAAAAGTGCTCCTGACCGGTTCTATCTTCAGTGTTGGTGCGTATGGCGCGTGATTTGCTCGCTTTCCTAAGCGACGAACATACGAGTGCTGGGCTGGGGAAATCGTACATTAGGTTGAGTACTAAATATTGTAACTGCGTAAATCGACACTGGCACATCTGCGTACGCCCCCAAAGAGAGAGAGTTGAAAGCGTAATTCGACACACGGAAACCGACACGGATTCTCGGTATGGCTCGCTCGCCCCCCCCCCCCCCCCCCCCCCCCCCTTTCCTGAGCTCTGGAAGTCGTCTAGCATGCGCCGCGTTTGTTGCGCTGAACTAATATACACAAAGCTGCAAGGGACACCCCAGCCCCATGGCGGTCCGGTGGATCACCGTCCTTGCCCTGATTGGATGGCGACATGGACTCGTTACATGCGGTGGGTTTGTTTACTGCCTCTTTCACTTAAGCCAGATACAGCATACAAAGACTGTCCGCAGACATGTTCAAACATGTTTCGAACATGATTGAGGCGTACCCGGAGATAATTCTGTCATTATGTCAGCAGCAAGCGCCGTGTCTTTTCTATGATGTATGAGCAGTGTTGCTGGAAACTCTTCATACCGCACAGTAAATAAAAAGAAAATGCTGGACGCATTAGATAACCAGTAAAGAATAGCGAGAGCAACGAATAACACCTGGAGGCTTAATTTTCATTCACGTTTCTTATTTCAAATAATGTTTTGCGGTCTAATGGCTCGTTCAAGATAGCCGCCGTGGGACCGGAGCCTTAAAGGGACAGTACAACGATGGTTGCACTTTCAGTGAGCACCTCTTAGAATGTCCGATATAAAATGAACACCTGCCACAGTCGCCGCCAACAGCTTAAGGAACCCAGGGCGTTGCTTATTAAGTTCATACTTCTTGCTTTCGGATTCGAGCTTGGGACTTCTTCTTGACTGACGCGGCAACCTGATTAGTTGCGGGGCGAAAATAAGATACTCGGCAATCGCCACACCATGTGTTTCCTATGCGGAGCGCAAGCCCACTACCCACTATCCTTTCAGTGAAAGCCAATCAGAAGTCGGCGTCGTTCTGACGTAACCGCAACCCCTGGCAACGTTATTAGATGAGCTCAGTTACGGAACTGCCCATAGACGCTGCTTGGACAAGTAATACCCCCCCCCCCCCCCCCACCCCCTCTGCACCCACGGCTCGCCTCCTGCCGTTTGACGCAGCGGACGGCTGCTATGGTAACTGCAGTGGATTCTTTGGAATAAGCATGTTTCGAAACACAGCGTCTAGATGGCGTTTCACCGCGTACTCTGTGAAACACAGTTTTGAAATGGAAATGTAGATGGCGCTTCAAACGACGGGAGACAGATTGAAGTGAGTGAGCGGGGGTACCTCCCTCCGCGGCAGTTCAACTACTGAGATAACCTTGTAATGTTGACCCCTGCACGAGAAGCAGACGACTTGATCTCCGAATAGGATACCGGTGATTTTAACCCTGGAAAGGCCAAATTTCTTACAATAAAAAAAAGAAATGATTTTAGTGGTTGGGTTTTGCTTTCAAATAATATAATATAAAGAAAGGGTCAATGAACAAGTTTTTCTGTTAATTATTTAGCAGGAGCACGTATAGTGCTTGCAAGCTGTTCAGGTTTAGATGCATCACAGCAAAGTACTGAAGACGATAATTTATCACTTTCCTTCCATTCGGTTTCCTTTTGGTGCGTCCGCTTCCGCGACGTTTTAGCGGCTTCAGATTTCGAACCGGAGGTACTTAGCAGAGCTCCTCTTTCGATTGATTAACTCTAATCCTCCGAATTTAATTCCCGAAAGCGTTGCCCTAGTGATAAATCATTTTTGTATGGGAAATTTCTCGGTCCAATAAACGTATATGATCAAATAAGATCATATAAGAGCCATTCAGGAATATATAAGAACTTATAAAAACTGATGTTTCTTATAACTTCTTCCAGTATACCCTTGTATGGTTCTTATATGTTTTTATATTATATTATTTGATCATATGCGTTCATTGCATCAATATAATTTCTCATGCAGATAAGACTTTTCACTAGGTTGGAATTCTGAATCGGAAGAGAGACAATGGGCGCGTTAAGTTAACGAGCCCGAGCGCGCTCCAGCGGTCAGAGCTAAACTAAACGACATTAGCGGAGGGTTAGCGGGGAAGGAAACGCGGTCTACTAAAACTCCCTATTAAGGCCCGTTCACACTCTTGCGACTGCTTGCGACCTCTTAAACCTGGGTTTCTTAAAACTTCTTAAACCAGTAGGGAGGCTCAAGTTAGAGCACTATATAGCTCCTACGGAGCAGAGTAGCGCAATCCTTTGAACCCCGTGTTTTGCCGACAACATGGCCGACAGAGCGGCTCGGCGCGAGTCACGTGGTACTCAGGGTTCCAGGAGGCGGCCCGCCCTATGGGAGAATACATGGAGGTCGACACAACACGGCTGATTAAAAAATTAACGGCGAGTTCACACTTTTCAAAACTAGTCTGTCGTGAAGTTAGTAAAGCACTAAACACTTTATCAAAGTTTTAACAATATCGGATGCGTGTGCAAATTTTGAGAAGGCAATTTCCAAGGCAATGGCGTTTGAAGCAGACGATTTTTGCTCGCAGCGGAGATGGGCTTTTCGGGTTGGCCGGAGCGGGTCACGTGAATGGTGTGACGTCGCCGTGTCGTCTGCTGTATGATGCCGCTCAGGCAATTTTTTAAAAAAAGTCAGGTCCTTGCGGGGCACAAAACTTAGCGCAAATTATTCTAAAGTGTTCCATTATTATGTCAAAAATGATTGCGATTCCGTACATTCCCACAATACTGGAGAAACAACGATTTTCTCACGTTCTCTATGCATTTCTGACCGCAGTTGGAACCTCCGGGCGTTCGCCGCTAGTCGCCGAGAGGCGGCGTTCTAGATTGCGCTACTCTGTTCCGAAGGAGCTATATAGACGCTTTACACTCGCGCCAGATTGAGCCGCCATAGCCGCCCTTCTCTTGTCTTACCGAGATGCCGAGCCACTGAAGCGGGCGTTGACGGGTCTTCACAAGGGCCTATGCTGGACACAAGAACACAGTAGCATCTAAAATGGCAATAACCTGTCCGGCTGTGGTAATGATGAAGTGAAGCGAACGGAATAAGAGGGAACAAAAACTGAAGGTCAGTTATGGCGGCGCCCATGCACAGCTGCTGTAAAGCGTCTATAGTGCTCTAGCTCAAGTGAGGGTGGGTGCAACTGCTAGATCAGCGATCACGGGACATGGACGCCATTTAATTGCTAAATTTTGCTGGGAGTCTATGGGGCAAAAGGTCGTTTTCTTTCCTAACTCGGGTCATAAAAGCCCATTAAGGTGCTTGAATAATTTACACAAGGTATAAATGATTACTTTTCCATAGCCACCAGTTTTGTTGCGATAGGTTAAGTATTTTTTTAACGCGAAAAATGGTAAATTCCGCCATCTTGGACGTTGCTGCTTGTCTGGCAACTTTGCTTTCTCCGCTCGACGTTTGCAATTCTCGGAGTGAGAAGGAAGCGAGAGAGGCTGCGCCAAGGCGCTCGTTGCTTGCAATGGGAGGCGAGAGAAGGAAAGGCGCATGGAGCAACAGAGTTGCAACAGAGCGGGCGCCTGCTTTCGTGCAGGCAACACTGGCGCATATCCTTTCTCGAATCCTCTCCCTCAGGCGCCGCCATTAAATTGCAAACGCTCTCCAGGTTTTGAGTTGCGCCCACCCTCACTACAGCCTCCCTATAAACCAGATAACACACTGGCGCCATCTATTGGGAAGCAGTGTAAACTCGGCGGTCCGGCATATGTTTTTTTTTATTTCTCGCGCAATATCCTTTCTTTTTTGGCTCGAAAAACTTTTTTCAATGTTATAAACGAGCCTTTCTATGGGTGTTACGCACATTTGACCTCGGAAATCCCGCAAAACCTTCGCTTTTGTGAAATGCAGTTCTAGGGTCACCGTATAGATGGCGCCACAATGTCAGTGTGTCCCCTCATTCTAGAAACATTTAAGAAGTTGTAAGAGATCTCGTCTCTCTCAGTCGTACTCGGTCGCAAGAGTGTGAACGGGCCTTTATTGTCTCACTTCCGGCGCACGGGTGGCGGAACGCGCTCCGCCAGCTCCGTCGTCGGAGATGGTGCGCGAGAGCTCGAACAGGTCGGTTTCCGGTAAGATGATGGCGTTTCCGCTCTCGCGGCCAGTCTCGCGGTGGTCTCACGCGCTTCGCGTTCTATTCTCGCGCCTGCTTAGATACATGGATACTTCGACGGCGATCACTCGGCAGCTCGTGCGGTCGCTCGTCAGCGTGGGAAATAAAAAAGAATAAAAAAAATGCTGGTGTAGACAGTTATGCATACATCCTTCGAATGCTTGTTGAAGTTCTTCGTGTGCCTTACCACAATTTCAGGATCAGTCAAGCCGATGAATTCGGCCATTCAGCCGTTATGCTTTGAGACTTTCGAGAATTCAGAAGGCGTGAGGCGTACCTCTAATGAACCTTTTCCAGGAAGCGTTCTGCGCAGGCGCAGGCGACCGATGCCAAGCGGCGGAAGTCCGCACAATAAATCGAGGAAATTCGGAGAAAGGCTGTGGATCAGCGAGTAAAACACGTAATTGCAGCATATATAATTGTGTTACACAAAAAAAAGAAAGTCGACGGAAAGAAAAATACGGCGTTTTAATTTGGTGGATGCCATGGATACCCCTCTTTAAAATCGCGTTGGGCACGCGCCGCAGCTCAGAGAGCGAAGAAACTGGTAGCGTAGCTCCCATTATCAATCGGTAGCGGAGGCAGGTCACGTCCTCGATTTTTAAATCGTGTACCCACCACCTGGGTGCCATCGGTATGTGAAAAAGGTCCATTGTTGCACACACAGCGTGCAGCACAAATGCAAGCTCTTGCTGCTGCCGCCGTCTCCGCGCACAAGTTCATCGAAGTCGTCGTCAAATAAACACAATTTCTGACGTGACGGGAGCCCCGTTTAAGCGCGCGCCGGAAAGCCGGAACACTGAAAAAACATAAAAATAGGCGTCAAATGGCGCCTCGGAACGAAAAAGAAAGTGCGGTCATTAGGCTACGTTAATTCCGAACCCGCGTGCTCGAGCGCAGATGTACGGAGTTTGGCGCTCGCTAACTGAACGCGCCCAATGCTCCCAAGCAACCGGTAGGCGAGTTTAAAGCCCCTCTATCCTGGGAGAAGTGGCGTCATTCATTGTTGTGGAAATGCTCCAGACACGTGTCGCGAGCCACTTCTGGGAAGATCATGGCGTCTCATATCTAGCTCAGTGCTGCGCTGTGCCGCCATGATCTTCCCAAGGGCTGCACGTTGCACGTGACTCGTGCATCGACGCACATTGCGCTACTTTTAAAACATGAAGGGGCTTTAAGCGAGGTGAGCATCACGTGCGCGGAGTGTCTAATTTGAAAACTAAAAATAACCCAGCAATGCGAAAAAACGTGCGAATATAAAGTTTATAGTTCGCTAAAGACTTCACATATATCAACACCTCTCGTAATGCGAGCAGTTTCCCGTTTATGTGAGCATTTTCAGATGTGTAATCACAGCCGTACATGTGCAGCGACGACCCCTAAATGGTTAAACAATATCTGTCAAAATAGAAAAAAAAATCATGGTTTCTTTTTATATCGTTTATGAAAAAAAGAAGAAAAAAACTAAGTTATGCGCTCACCGTTTTACTTTCTTTTAAACCCATTTTCTTTGTTGTTTTTGCAGACGAAACGCCCTACGAGGAATACGAGTCTCACCTGCAGCTCTTACGGGCCAAGCTCTTCGATCCGTCGAAGTACGACGTCAACCGGCGCCCCACCAATGACAGTTCGAGAGCTACCAAGGTCACTGTAAAATTATTTGGGGGACACATCACGTACATGGTGGGTACATCACCCCTACGCGATTAACGTCATTCACCCCAAGCACTCACTCTACAAACGCTGGTGTACACGCAGAACCTCGAAGATGAATGGTTCACCCTCGCCATGGTCCCGTGCATCGTAAGTCTGGCGTCTTCTTATTTCCAGTAATGAGAGTAGAAGTCTACATACTCAAGACGTCATAGTGAGTTTTTGTGGCCAGTCGTAGAGGGCCGACTACAGTGCACTTTTGGTCGCTCGCACCTCCAATTAACGCCGTAAGTGTGACTGACATCACTGCTTCACACAGACCCCCGCTAAGAGCGCTGCTGCAAACGAATACATGGGATTAGACTTAGCTCCTAAAGGAGAGTAGAAAACATTCTGCCACGCAGTCTGGAATGAAGTCATCCGCGTTCTCATTATTACAGCAAATAAGTAGAGGAACGTCGCGCTCCATTTGCAATTCTAAGAAACACAGGGCGGAGGAATGCCCTTCGACCATACAATTAAGCAAAAACAAGACGATTCTATACTTCGTTTCAGCTTCGGTCCAGACGCAGCCGATGCTACAAGCGCGAGCATGTGGCCCAGAACAGTGCTTGCACTGCACGAGCGCGCGTGCTTGGCAGGGATGCTGAAAGCCCGGAGCTCGCGCTTGTAGCTTTGGCTGCGTCTGGACCGAAGCTGAAACGAAGTATACAAAAACAACACAAAATGGCAGGTGCTTCGTTGCATTTTCTTAAATCACATGCCCAAGAACTGTAGAAGGAGGATCACGTCTAAATATTTCATGGCTGGCACGCTTCACGGTGTGCGACCCCACCTTCAAGAGCTCCGAGCAAAAACGCGCAGTCGAGGCGACTCCAGTTCAACTAAAAGCGACGGCCAATGCCCGCAGCAACAAGATCGCACTGCTGCAAACAGCCGAAGCGTTGATTTCTGGAAGTCAAAGCAAGATGATGTCTCGAGTGCTCTTTGATAGTGGTAGTCGGAGATCCTTCATGAATCATAACGGAAGACTTATCAAGAAGACCTGGTTGCAAGATAGTGGGTAACGAATGCCCGACAGTGGGATACTTCGGTGGCCACAGCCACAAGAAGAGCTTTCGGAAGGTCCTCATACTCTAAAAAGCAAGCATGATGGATGGACGTACGTACAACATCAAAGCTCTGGAAACAGGCATTATTGGCGATCAGCAATTTCTCCATCCGAATGAAGGGGTTATGAAAGAGCCACGTCGATTGGAACATACAAGTGCAGTCGACGGAAATTCCGACACGATAAACATTCTCAACGGAGCCGAGTAATATTAGGATTTTGTCACTACTCAAGTGACAAAACTCACCGACAATCTCAAGGCCATCAGGCGACGTTATGATGAATGGTACACTGTCCCATGACAATAAGTACTACAGGGGTGAAGTGTTCACAAAGAGCGGTCCTCCAAATTTCAGCGATAACGAGTGACCCAGAGGTCATCCTATACAAAAATTCTGGGATTTGGAAGCTATCGGTGTCTCAAAAATCCAAAGCCACAATTTAATCGACTCCGCACAAACTGTCTTTGAAGGAAAGGCAAGAAACAACTCCTCCACCTCCAGAAGAACAAGGAAATTGACGAAAAACGACTGTTTCAACTGACGAAAAGACTCGGGCTCAATAAAGAGATTCTGAACTCGTGCGACGCCGCCATAAGAATGTATGACAAAGAATTGATGACGGAAATGGTATAAATTGAAATGAATGACGATAACGTCTACTACATACCGCACCAACCAGTTATCAAGGAAAGTCAAACACCAAGCTGTGCGTAGTCTTCGACGCTTCGTCACACGGATTCCGATCGAAGTCATTGATTGCGAATCTGGAAAAAGGGAGCCTAACCTCAAGGCCGATCTTGTAGATCTACTACTAAACTTAAGGAGACATAAAACTGCGCTCACTGCAGATATCAAGAAGGCGTTCCTTCAAATTTCTGTCAACCCGAAAGACAGGAATGCCTTATGATTCCTGTGGCTCGAGAGCGCACCAATGGTCGATCGTCCTGACCGGAAGATCCAAACCTGGAGAATGACCAGAGTTCCGTTTGGCACGACGTCAAGTCTCTTTCTTTTTGTAGCGATAGTACAACATCATCTGAAACGCATGATCTCACAATACCCTGAAACTGCTCAGGAACTGCTGAAATCGATCTACTTTGATGACATACTGAAGGGCGCTGAGAACGAAGAACAAGCTCTTCGGATGTATTCCAAAGCCAATGACATCTTCAGCATTGCTTCCATGAAGCTGCACAAATGGTCGTCCAACTCTGCAGAAGTCTTGGAGAAGTTAAACAAGAGCGAGACCCAACAAGTAACACTCGGTGAACTACCAGGCGTCTTTAAAATACTTGGACTCACGCGGAACCTTACTTTGAACATACTGTCATTTACACCAAACAGCGTCACTATCTTCTCTCAGCAACGAATGGACACAAAGCGGGCCGTATTGCAGACAACAGCAAGGATGTACGACCCTCTCGGAATGCTGGCTGCATTCACTATACAAGCAAAACTCTGCTTGTAACGACTCTGGTGCATGAACAAACAAGTTGAAAATCAAATGACCTCCTTAAAGATTAAATGGAAGTTCATCCTCGAACGAGCTCCATGGTGGGGAGGATTTTATGAACGTCTCATTCGCTCAGTCAAGCTCTCGCTAAAAAACAAAAAGCCCGTGGGTGCAGGAGCCTGAAGGCGAACAAACTCTACACTGTATTGACAAAAGTAGGAGTGGTTGTAAATTCGCAACCTCTTAATTACGTTTACAACGATGTCGGTAAAACAGAGGCATTGTCACCAGGCAGGGGTGCTATGTTGCGCTTTTTGCACTCCCAGGAGACTTGGAAGAGGGAAGTGACGTCAACGACACAGCAAATGCAGATTGGATGTTGATAGAAGAAAACGAAATCAACACCCAATCTGCGTTTGCTGTGTCGTAGACGTCACTTCCCTCTCCCTAGTCTCCTGGGAGTGCAAAAAGCGCAGCATAGCCCCCCTGGTTTCTTACGGGCAAGAGGTCGACCTCTCTCCCGACACCTCATGTTACAGAGTTTCTCCATGCTTCTGCAGACCCCCTTCGCCGGTTGTGGAAACATCGTGAAGAGGTTTTCGGACAATTTTGGATGAGGTGGTCAAAACAATACTTAATGGAATTAAGAAGTATATGTACACAATGGTCGACCACTCTAAAACCTCACAACATAAAAGTTGGAGATTTCATCTTCCTCAAAGACAGCCGGCGTCTTAAACAACGGTGAAGAGGTTTTCTGCGGTAGAGATGGGGAAATACGCCCCGGCACAATCAGGTTTGCCAGCGGAATAAGTTAAAAAGCCCATTCAACTGTTTTTTTTTTAAGTTTTTACTACTCAGGTGTAAGATGAAAGATCATTTGGAGGGCAGTGTGTAGAAACCTCAGAAACAAAGAAGGAAGAAGAAAAGAGCGAGATGATTTAGCGCGAGAAGGACCAACGACAAGAGGGACCGAGCAGCCAGCGTCATCCGGTTTATCTGCCTCCCGTGGATCATCAATTGTCTGTAAATAGTGTATATAAATGCATAGCTGACTTAAACTTCAACGACGACCGGACCTTCTTTCAGTGAAGTTGCAACCCTTTACCGCTCATTCATACTGGAAGCGGATCCGCGTTCGCAAAGCGGTTGCCAACGCGGTTGTATAAAGATCCAGTGCAATTGCACGAGCACTCGATGTCATTAAGTGCGCGTGCAATTGTACTGGATCTTTATACAACCGCGTTCGCAACCGCTTTGCAAACGCGGATCCGCTTCCAGTTTGAATGAGCGGTTACCGCTCATTCACACTGGAAGCGGATCCGCGTTCGCAAGGCGGTTGTGAACGCGGTTGTATAAAGATCTAGTACAATTGCACGCGCACTCGATGACATTAAGTGCGCGTGCAATTGTACTGGATCTTTATACAACCGCGTTCGCAACGGCTTTGCGAACGCGGATCCGCTTCCAGTGTGAATGAGCGGTTAGAGTGCGTACTGATAAGCTTCATGCTTAAAAAAAAAGAAAAAAACATACCTACTTTTACGCTTTACAGAACTGGTACGACCCCGCTCTTGTGTGGGATCCGGACGACTACGGAGGGCTCAAGAACATCAATGTTTCCCCGAGCAAGATCTGGTATCCGGATATAGAAATTGTCAACACGTAAGTTCAAGTTAAGTGGCACAAACTAAACTTCGTAAGCAAAACAGAAAAAAAAATAAAAAGTTCGTGAGTTTTACATTTTTTAGCAAACCGCACAGCACACGAAAATTACAGATTTTTTTTTTATTTACGTTATTTTTTCTTATTCTTTACCTTAATTTCAAATATGGTGTTTAAAAACTAAACTGAAAGTTGGATGGTTCTATGTCTACTACTTGCGAGTGACGCATGGTCTTGAGGTTAAGGTAATAATCCAACAAATTAAAATAAATTTAAAAAAAGCTTGGACGCACAATTGGACGCCACCCGTCCCAATAAAAGCAACCTGAATGAATCTCTAAAACTGACAAACGCAAAACTGCGGTCACACTGCTCAGACATCATTCAAAAGACAGCTTGCAGACACTGGCTGGGGCGTGTTGTTTCCTAGTATGACGGACATGTTACCCTTGGTCACACAAAAACCGTCAGCAAACATGTTTGAAGCGCGCATATGCGTAAAGCAGTCGTTTTTCGATCATGCTTCGGACGTGTCCGCCGATTCTTCTGTCATGTCTGCAACGAACGCGGTGTCTTTCGTACGATGTACGAGCAAACCATCGGAGAGAGCGTCGGCAAGTGAGTCGCGCTCCGTCGCTGACACTTTCTCCCGTGACCTTCTGGTCTCATCGCAACTGGGCAAACGACGAATACTTCGGTTCCAACATGCCAACCAGTGCTGTCAAAGCAAAGCCATGGACGGGATAGAGAGAGAGAGAGAGAAAGGAAAGCCGATTTGTGTGCGGAATTTGAGTGACGGGCTAATCTTCTAGTGGAAGAAAAACAACGACTGGGTCACGCAAAAGATGGTCCGGGTAAGAGGGAGAGCTCCACTTTCTCCCTTTCTCCACCCTTGTACCTTTGGTAAAGACTGTCACGTGTTTCGCTTCCGTCACTCTGATTGGCTTGAAGGGGCCGTAGCGTTCGCTCTTTGCAGCGTTGCGGAGAAAGCAAAGTATAGTTCGTGATAAACATTACGGTAATAATACTGTCTACGTTTCGGATAAAGGCTCAAATTAAATGACAGAGACACGCGTAGGTGCCAAAAGGAGCTCAGGATAATGAGCAAACAATGACGAGTCTGTTTCACCTTATTGAGACAAGAATACAAAACTGACATAAGCTAAAAGCAGTCTTTTCGGTTGCACTAACGCTTGCTCAAAGGTGTGCAATCGCTATCCAGTACAAGACTCATTAACTTAAAAAAACAAATGTAAAAGAAATACAATGTGATTTCAAGGGCTAATTACATTTATGAATGGAATGCTGAGAGTTTAATCGCATGATTGCGCCAAGAGACTAACAGCACAATGAAAAGTTGTTTATGTGATGATAATTATTAATCCATTTACGAATGCGCCACACAGGTGTTGATCATTTATCCCTTTATGACGTGCAAAAACATTTCGTGCGTACGCAGAGTTCTTTTTTTTTCTGTCTATACACGTTTTTATTTTGCTTTTCTAAATCATCCAACTGATCACGGCGCACCAACATCAAACCTTACCCGTTTCCAGTTACGGTTACTACAAAGCACAAGCATCGATATGGTTCGAAACTTATACGACTACATTAACACTGTGCGCGGGTTCGCTCGTATTAAGGCACAACGAAATCTGGTTATGAATACGCTAATCATCATAATAATAATTTATTTATTCTGTGCCCATAAACAACCAGTATATGTCTGTATTGTGGCACAATAAAAATTAATTCATATATAAAACATGCTTGAATATAAGTGACGAATATAACAGAGACACGTACTGAACTTACATGCGACAAGAACTGAAAACGCGCCACTAAAGATTTAAAAAAAAAAAAAAATCATGTCGTGCAGCCTCCTTCCGAAATTCACAGAGTTGTCGAACATGTCTATATGCCCATGACTAAAGCTATTCACAGATGTCTGCATTCTTGTTATGGCTCATGCCATGCATTGATTGTGAGGCTAAAAAGTAAGGTTTAAATTCACAGTGCACTGAAGTTGAGAGTTTAAGTCGCTGTGAAATCTTTTGTGCAAAAATAACATATCGCGATACAGCCTTCTGGCGAATAAACCCTGCAGACCGAATTTAGCAAGAAGTGGCTCATGACAATAGAAAGTCGTTCGACCTACGATGTCTGTCATAAACTGTATACGGACAAGGCGCCGCTGAACATATTAAATTTTCGCTGCATCGCTTGCACTAAGTGAATTCCACACAATAAAGCCAGAGTCTAGTCTTGATATGATAAAAAAAGCAAAATAAAGAAAGTAAGCAAGCATGACTCGTCAAATTTATAGTTCAACGATTCATCATTCCTAGCATTCAAACTGCAGAACAAGCATATAAGCGACATGACAACTAAAAGAAAGGAGAACTATCAAAGCACATTCCGTCAAAGTCAAAGCACTACACATTGACACTCGTGCAATGCATCAGGATAATATGAATAAGGCACAATATCTCGTTTTTTACTGAAAAAAAAAGACCTTCGTTTTATCAGGATTAATAACAAAGAAATTGTCCAAGTAGAAGGTTAGAATACGCGAGGCATCGCTTTGTAACAGTTTGCAATCATCAATCGAGCTGATACTCTTAAAAAGTTTGATATCATCAACGAATGAGAGCACCCTTGAATTGACGGCACAAGTGGCTATATCAAATAAAAAAACAAAACAGTAGTGATCCCACATTAGAGCTTTGAGGTACCCCAGACAACAGACAAAAATTATTAGATAAGGAATTTATAATACGCACGATACAGCGACGATCGGTCAAGTAGCTTCCAAACCTCCTCAAGAGAATAGGGTAAATACCCGATTCGTGACAACTTAAACAATAGCAAGGTCTGATTCAACTTATCGAATACTTTCGAAAGGTCAAAATAAATAGCATCGACTTGACCATAAATTAATGACCGCAAAAGTGGACGCTGCTGAAATATGACCGTTCATGTGTCACGTGTAAATGGAGATAATGACCTTGTCCCACTGCGCAGAAAAACAAGTAACACTGCTCTCCGACTTAACAAGAGCAACTTTGGTGATACGAGTACTCTTCAGCATGCCATTGCCATAATACTAATTAAACTATAGGAAACCAAATCGTCTCTTTGTTTCCAATCACACGTCATTAAGCAGGGATCTTTGACGGTATTCAATAACTTTAAACTAGGGGTGTGCGAATACTTCTAATCGAAAGACGTTTAGGTTTAGTACTGTAGAGAAGAGCAGGTATGGCTTGGCCTTCTCTTCTACTATGAAGCTGCGAATAACGCAGCGCTATTCGATTGAAACCACTATTCATATACACGCACACCTTGGGCAGGGTACCAACTCCCATCATGTTTTACTTTTTTTTAGAAGATCCGATGATTACGCGTCGGAGCCGATCATGGTCTACTTGCACCACGACGGAGACGTGTGGTGCTGCCCGCCAGCCACGGTCAGGATACCCTGTTCGATGGATCTCACGAACTATCCGTTTGATAGCCAGGTTTGCCGCATGCGCTTTGCTTTGTTAACTTACGGGGACGAAGAGGTCAGGCTGGGCGGTGAGAGTATCATGAGCCTCAGCGTGACCAACCAAAGTTCGGAGTGGCAAATCAGCTTCCTGGACACGTCCCAAGGGAGGCTGCTCAACAACACGAGCCTGGACATAGCCATAGGAATGAGGAGGCGTGGCAGTCATCATCGCTACACTGCAACCCTGCCCTGGATCGCGTCGGTCATCATGATGCTTCTGGGTTTCTGGATGCCTGCCAACTCTAGCCGCAGGCTGACTTTGGCGTGCATCAACCTGCTGCTTGTCATGCTGATGCTCCAGCGGATCACGGCGCTGCTGAAGACGTCCTCAGCAGTTCCTAAGCTAGGTGGGTTTTTGGTCCTAAGCAATGGTGTCATTCATGTCTTTGTCTAAATTTTTAAAAAGAGAAAGTGAGAAAGAAAGAGAGAAAGAGAGAGAGGTGAGGGTACCTATAATGTGTGAATCTTGAGTTCTATTGTATACATCTATCAGTGTGAAATGTCAGGTTTCAAGAGACGTCGGTTAACAGTTAGGTACTTACATTCCTAGACGGGCACCCCGACGCAACACCCAGAGCCTGCTATGTGGTACTCGTCAAATAGTTGAACACGTTCCTTTCACGCTTCGTATCATCAGCTCCTGGTTATTATTTGACACTAAGAAGACAAAATTCCTAGGATGTGAAACGCACATTGCGGAGCCGTTCAGGAATCTGGCTCTCAGCACGCGCTCAGCAGCACCATGCTCAGCAATGGCGGCAAGTGAATAACATCTACACTACAAAAAAAATTCGGAGCGTCTACTTTTCCGCGGAGCACTTATGAATGTGATTTCGAACTTCTCGTGAACCGCGATTGCCAAGTGTCGGCTGTTGCACAGATCAGGCGCGTGCCGTTTGAAGACGGGCGCCGTAGTATAAGAAACTAGCGTCCCTTTTTCTTAACTTTTATTTAAGTATGTTCATGCTTTGAAATGTTGATTCGTCAAATTCACCGCCTAGGGTCACCTCTGTAGTAAATTGTAGCGCGATACCTTAAGGAACCGATTTATGAAGTCCCTTCAAAAGCCCAACAGGCCATCGGGTCCTCGTTGCCAAGTTGTCGTTCCCTTTGGAACGGAACACCGCAGTGACCCCTAAAAATATCAGAGAGTTTTCGTATCACTGCTCACCCCTCCCTACTGCGCTGTCCACTACGAAGACGCGGCTACTGCGCATGCGCGCCGCTAGACTTGTTCGTAGAGATCCGTATCTCGTAGCCGCTTGAGGAGAGCTTGACGAGACGGCGCAAATGATGCGCGAAAACTCCCTACAGTCACCGATAGGGCGAAAACGGCAGGAAGGTCTTTCAATTGTCCAGCCTCCCGCGCAAGCTTTCTGCTCTCGATAACACTTCTGCGTGTCGTGTGCCTCGAGCGTGCACGCGCAGCCAAAGCAGGGCGAAAGGCAAGGAGCGCGTGCTGGTGGCAGGGCATCCGAGAGAGAGGCCCCGCCGTTTTGCGTGCTGTCATTGACCGTAGTAATGAATGTCGTCGTCTTCGTGGCACTAAGTGAAAATCAAAGTGAAGTCGACACTGCGAACAATTACTGTGCTTTCCTAACAAGTGGCGGTACACATAGTAATGCTATCTCGACTCCGGGATATCTCCCAGAGTCGAGCTGTCGAGCCATACCTGCTGCAACAAACGAAAGTCTAAATTTGCTCTTCACTATTGATGAGCTAAATGCCGCAATTCAAGATACAACTAATTCAGCACCAGGTAGAGATGGCATTACGTATAACGCCGTAAAACACCTATCCCAACATTCAAAACTCAGACTTCTTGAACACTACAACAATTCCTGGATCAAAGGAGCCTTACCACAAGAGTGGAAAATTGCAAAGATTGTGCCGATTTTGAAGCCTGGTAAGCCGCCCACTTGTCTCGAATCTTTCCGGTCAATTGCACTCTTGAGTTGTATAGGAAAGCTAATGGAAAAAATGGTACTCGGTAGAATTTCATGGTTTTTAGAACAAAACAAATGTTTTTCACAGCAAACGAATGGCTTCCGCCGCGGACGGTCATCCACAGACTGCATTATTGATCTTACAACGAGTGTCGAAGAAGGCAGAGCCAAAGGTCACACAACCACTGCATTGTTTTTAGATATAACAGCAGCATTCGATTCTGTTCAGCATGAGGCAATATTAATGGCTCTCGCAGATCTAGGACTTGGAGGACGCATTTATAAATGGATATACGATTATCTCAAGTGCAGAAAAATTTACATTGATACTTCAGAAGGAAATTCCAACTATTTTGATATTGTCAAAGGAGTACCTCAGGGTGCAATACTAAGTCCAACTCTATTCAATATCACACTGATAGCATTAAAAAAGCATCTTCCCCGAGGAGTTAGTATTAGCATCTACGCAGATGACATCTGCGTATGGTCTACTTTCCGCTCAAGGCTAACTGTAAAGCTGCGGCTGCAAAAGACTCTCTATATATTGGCAAGTTTTCTAGGTTCCAAAGGCCTCCAGATCTCTCCCAAGAAAACAGTTGCCATGGCATTTACGAAGAAATCTATGGAAAAGTATCCGATCCTTTTAGGCGGACATACAGTTCCTTACGTCGCAGTACATAAATTTTTAGGGATCAACATTGATCGAAATCTCTCATGGACGAAAGAAGTTAATTCTCTAAAAAAGCGAATCACGGCAGCAACCAATGTACTACGCTGCCTCGCAGGAACAGCTTGGGGATGTAACTGCAGATCAATGATTCTACTGTATAAATCTCTGGTTGAAGGTCTAATAAGACACTCTATTCCACACCTAACAAATATTAGCCTGACGAGTAAACGACAGCTTCAAGGGACGCTTAACAAATGCATTCGAATCTGCCTTGGTCTACCAAGAGGTTCATCTGGACCTGGCGCGGTAGCAGAAGCCAGATGCCTTCCTCTGGAAGTGTTACAGAAACAAGAAATAGTACGAATTCATTTACGCCATAAAATTCAGCATAAGAATCACTATCTTTCTAAAATACACATAAAACGTCCAAACTCCAGCTACGGGGATGCTTTAGGCCAAAATATTGACAATATTCCAAAGCAGGCAACTTTTACCGAATACTCCAAAATACCTCCATGGACGCTTCGAAAACTGGATATTAATCTAAACATCCCCGGAATCATTGCAAAACACCAACAGAGTAGCTTAGTTATCCTACAACTTGTAATGAGTTACATATATGAAACTTACACTAGAACAACGCACATATATACCGATGGCTCAACAACGGCGACAACTTCATCGTCAGCATTCTTCGTTCCATCGAGATTTCTTGCAAGATCTTGTCGTCTAAACCATCATACATCATCAACAGCCGCTGAGCTTCACGGAATTAGGGAAGCAATCAAGTATATATGTAAACAACCACCACAACAATGGACCTTATTTACAGATTCAAAATGCGCTTTACAGTCGCTCAGTCCTATTGGAAAGAAATCCATGTATTCGATTTCTTCCCTAGAAATAGCTGAGTACCACCACCTGGCATTCGAATACGGTCACCAAATTACATTTCAATGGATACCAGGACATTCCGGTATACGAGGTAACGAATGCGCTGACAAATCAGCCAAGAGAGCCCACCAGCACGTCTCAACACGAATGGTTCCTTACACGAAAGGCGACTGTACATCTCTGACAAGGCAAATTGCAAAAAGTGCACGTGAGATGCTTTGGTCCTCACCGGATTCTAACTACAAATTTCTCTATGACATAGACCCTTTATTAACAACACGACTACCAAGCGACCTACCACGAAAATTAGAAGCTCTTGTCCATAGACTTCGCCTCAACTGTGCCTACACGAAGAACTATCGCTTTAAAATAAAACAACACGCGACTCCGGACTGTGAGAAATGCGGTGCGCCGGAAACCATCAGACACATTCTACTCACATGTCAAGCATATGAAAATGAACGCAAAGTTTACAAAAATTCTACGAATGCTCTGGACTGCAGACCTTTTGATCTGCCAAAGCTCCTCGGACCTTGGCCTGCTAAGAAACATCGAACAGCCTTAAAGGCCCTCTTTAAATTCCTCGAAGACATTGACTTACTGACAGTGCTATAATTATTTTTATCATCTTTCTCTCATTTCCCATCCTGAAACTAGACACTATAGCGTGTATATATTTTAACATTTCATCTCATCATCATTGACCCTTTGTCGATCGTCTTTCTGTCCCCCCTCCCCTTCCCCACCACAGAGAAGCCTGTTAGAGTGCAAAGCTCAGACTAAACTCTCTGTTTCAATAAAGATATTCTCTCTCTCTCTCGTCTTCGTGGTCGGAATGTGATGATAAAGCCGTGGTAACACTGCTAGTCCCTCAGACAAGAATAAACAAACTGCAGGCACTGTATGAGGCCTGTTTCTTCTGTTACATTAGTCATGCAAAAACTGTCGGCAGACGTGCTTGAAGCATACATATGTACCAAGCATAGATGCTCGGTACATATGCTTGGCAAGCACCGTGTCTTTCGAATAACGCACATGAGCAATCTAATAAGGGTTTCTTGAGGTACCTCAGCTAACTATAATTTCTGACTCCCCGGCCTTTACCCTTTCGGGTATGCTACTTAGTATCGCGAAATTCATATCAGTTATAGTAAAATCGGCGAAGGAAAATGTTGCAAAAACCAACCTCCAAATATACCCGCACTTTCCAGTGCCTTGACATCAGTGGCAGGCGGGCTTGCCAGTCGAGCAAGCAGTCCAAACAAAATAGAATATGCCAATCATTTGTTCCGTGCTGGAGCGCGGGTACTGGAGCGAGCTTCCAAAGCATTCATTCGACACCATGGAACTGCGTCGAATCAGTTCGGCACAAATTCTACAGTCCAAAGAGTGAACCCCTGCTTTCCACTGACGTCACTTTTCCGTTGTTGCCAGTAGAGACTTTCAGTTTGAAAAAAACACGGTGAGGACCAAAACTGTAAATTCAATACCTTCGCGAAAAAATAATCTTTTCATTTCATTTCATTTCATTTATTTACTCTCAAGGCCGAAGCATTACAGAGAGGAGTAGTGAAGCAAAAAGAAAAAAATACAACATGAACATAAACACAGCAGGGGGATTACAAAAAATGGTTGCAAACGGCACTTTTGAAACGTTCGGTGTCAGTGATTGAAGCGATGCTTCCAGTCTGTGCGGGTTTTGGGAATAAATGAGTGGAAGTGCAAATTGGTGCGGCTGCTTGGGACGCCAACCTTGAACTGATGGTCGCTGCGGGAAGAAATGTACGATGGTGGCAGAAAGAGAGAGTCACTGAGTAAGAGAATTGAAATGATAAACCTTATGAAAGAGACAAAGACGAGATAGTTTACGACGCAATGAAAGATCGGGTAAGTTAAGATTAGATTTCATAGAAGTGACACTGGCAGTTCGAAAGTAATTTGAGAAGATGAAACGCGCGGAACGGTTTTGAATGGCTCCTATTTGAAGAATAATGGAGTTATTATGAAAGTCCCAGATTGATGATGCATATTCAAGCTTTGACCTCACTAAAGTATTATAAAGTATGAGTTTCAAGTTAGTTAGGGCTAAACAAAAATTACGCCGTAGATAACCGAGTGCGCGATTAGCATTACTAGTGATGTAGTCGACGTGATGTTGCCATGAAAGGTTAGCAGAAATGATAATGCCAAGATATTTGTAGGACGAAACTTGCGTTAGGCGAACACCGTTAAGTAAGTAGTCACACGGTAGGATGTGATTTAAATGACGTGCAATTCTCATTGATTTACATTTGGCAGGGTTAAGTTTCATTAGCCAGGCGTCACACCAAAATGAAATGTTATCGAGGTCAGACTGAAGAGCATGATGATCAGCAGGTTCTAGAATTTTGCGATAAACAACACAATAGTCAGCAAAAAGTTTCATAGATGAAGAAATGCAGCTAGGTAAGTCGTTAATATAAATAAGAGAAAGTAAGGGCCCTAGCACTGACCCCTGCGGGACACCGGACGTTATAGGGCAGTGAGGGGAGTTATGGTCATTGGCGGTTACATATTGCGTGCGATTAGACAAGAAGCATTCTATCCATTTAAAAAATATTAGGGTCTATGTTAAGTTTACTTAATTTATAGAGGAGCAGACTATGACAGACACTATCGAATGCTTTCGAAAAGTCGATGACAATGCAGTCAACAGTGATTAAGTGATCTGCAGCAGAGAATAAGTCGTTAGTAAAGGCGAGTAGTTGAGTTTCACATGAGTAATTTTTTCTGAAGCCGTGTTGATGCATACTAAAAAAAGAATTAGTTTCGAGGAAGGATACCATATGACAGTATATGACATGTTCCATGAGTTTGCACGGTAGACTGGTTAATGAATTGGATCTATAATTATTGAGACAATGAGTGTTACCTGATTTGTGCAGAGGAACCACCTTTCCCGCCTTCCGGTCGTTCGGGAGCGTACAGGATTCTAATGATTGTGCAAAAATCTTCGACAATATTATAGATGAATACACTTCGGTGTTCTTCAAAAATTTGGGGTTAATGCCATCGTCACCTGGAGAAGAAGAAAGCTTCATATTTTGAATTAAATTCATTACGCCTGCCCAGTCAATAACTATTGGATCCATCGGAATAAAATCATAAACTGGAACATCGGGAAACATACATGGCGTGCTGTTAACAAACGACGATGAGAAGGCAGAGATCAAAAGAACGCAGCAGTTTTCCCTAGGAACGACTGATTCGCTATCCGTAGCGAGTTCAATTGGTTTCCTTTCACTTCCGCTCACAACGTACCGAAACTTACGGAGATTAGTTTCCAGTAGCGATGGAAGGGTTTGATTATACCTAATATTTGAGATACTATTTTAGCGATGTTTGTTGGTGAGTTTAGCAAATTTTCAAGCAAATCGGACACGATAAAGAAATCTGTGGAGTACCTTTTTAAAAGGACACTGACGGGGGTATTTATGCTCTCCAAGGTTTATGTATACATGACATATGTGAGCCCAACTACCCAGAACACAATTTGCGGATTGAAATTTGTTTTCGTTTCGCCCGAAAACCTCCGATCGAGAATTGGCCGGTCTGAGTCGCGTTCACTCTCTTCTCCGTGGTCACGTGCAGTTTTCTATGGTTTAGACACAGCCACTAACGACAATCAAAGTCGTGGGTCTTCGAAGGCACGTACTCAATACAAAAAATAAACAAAAATATACCCATTTTTTGTGACTTCTTAAAAGCTGCAAATACGTCGACTGGAATAAAATAGTTGTACAGCCACGTGACTTCCGGTAGCTTTCTCTTCCTCTATATTTCTTCTTCCTCCCCAGACCAGTTTCGGTTGCGGTTTCGAGCAGTTTCCTTTTTTTTTACTTTATTAAAAATATACGCGACACTGTAGCAAAATATTGGTTGAGTGGTCTTGTAACACCATATTTAATCACCTTACAAAAATTAAAAAAAAAATTGGGGGTGTTCGTGTCTCTAGACCGCTTGCTTTGTTCGGTTGCAGCTTTCTTCCTGGGCAACGCGATGGTGATCCAAGTACTTGCGGCAATCACGGCGGTTCTGGTACTCAACATGGAGACCTCCACGATTTCGAGCAAGGTGCCTGAATCAGTGGTCCGGTTCCTCACCAGTTCGGCGGGGAAGTTCCTCTGCCTTACGCAAGAAGGCGCCAGGGCGGACCAGATTCTGAAAGGCTCCGAAAACCCCTTTCCCGCCAAAAGGAACGACATAGAGAAGTGCGACTGGCTGCTCGTGGCTCAAGCCTTGGACAAACTGTTCTTTGTGCTGTTCGGCATTGTGACACTCTGCGTCATGCCGTGGTGAATCTACGTGTGGTATTAGTACCAAATAAACGAAAAACACTTGTTTATAATGACGTTTTTTTTGTTTTTTTTTTTTGTAGCTTGAGCTACACTGGCCGAGGTTGAGCAGTTTCACGTGGCTCCCAAAGAGCCATGCTGCGCAAGCGCGAGGAGCAGTGACGTTACACGGCGCACAGCTAGCGCGCCGAAGCCGCCGCCGCCGCGCGCGCCTGGCCGGTCTGCGCATTCCAGAGGAGTGACGTCATAGACGCGGCAGACGCACTGGCGCCGCCGTGTGCCCAGCTGTGCGCCTCCGTTGCGCAGTAGCCAAGTCTGACGCTGCACCGGAGCCGCTTGATAGCGCCTCTCATTTTTGTGCGCATAAGCTCACGCTACGTATATCCTGGCATAGCCGAGATAAGCCACTGCAATTTTTCGTTTAATTTTTCTTAAAATTCATTGTTTGCGCTGAATCTGGATTGCTCCAAACCTTTCCGAATTCCCTCGTATAACATGGCTTTCAACAAAGCGCTGGTTTTGCGAATGAGTTAGATCTAATCGTGAATACCTGATCAACACCATCCATCAAGCGATATGCGACTCGGCGATCTTCAAACTATAATCATTGATAATTTAAGAAACGCATTGTGCAGAAACCAAATTCGGGAGGAGCGAAGCGCCTGCGCATGCGCAGTGCCGACAGCAGCGCCACCACACTGTGGTGACGTCAGTGAGTTGAGTTGGTCTATAAAGGAGAGTGATGAGAAAGGGGCAGCCTCGCAAGCTAGCCCAACGCGGTACACTTTCCCCCATTTCCGTGCGCTCGTGCGACAGTCACTGGATCTAGGAAAGAAGCGCCATTGCCTTCGCACCTGCTAGCCGGACACAAACAACTACAAACCTACAGACGACAAAATCTCTCAAGGCGATTGGCTCATCGCTGTCGGTTGCAATAGTGATCGCCATTTTGGACCCTTTCGAAGCTTCGAAAGGGTCCTTAAAACCAGTCGCACCAAGATCGCTAAGGAGTATCATCGTACTGAAATCGTTTCTCGGCCAATGTGAGCGTCTTTGGCGCTGTGCATGCAATACACTTATCACTCATTTTTATTGATTATTTTTCAATGCCTCCCAAGCACCGACGCCACGTGTGATGACGCGTACATCTTCGCACCGCCATCACACGCAACGTCAGTTTTTGTAGGCATTGAAAAATAATTTTACTGTCTTCAAACACGCAAGAAGAGCAACATATTTGTAAGAGATCTGGGGAAATAAGCATGAGTGATAAGTTTATTGTGTGGTGTAGATCGCTATAGCGATCTACACCACACGTTTCACGCGAGCCGCTTCGGACCCAACACTACCCTGTATTCTCGCACAGTGTGATAGCATTGCTGAGGCGTACCCACGATTTCCAGACTTGCGTCCGAATAAAGCGCTTGCCATCCACGGTTACCAGACTAGCTCTCGAAGAGCGGCTGCTTGAAAAGATCTATAGAGTGTATTAGTAAGATAGTTAATCCAAAGGACACCTTAAAAAACGAAAACGACAAAAACAATTAATGGCAATTTTTTTCATTTTTTTTTATTCGCGGGAGTTTACTGAAGAGAAATGAATTCATAGGTGTTTATTTCATAAGAAGTAAAACGCTTTACCGGCTACTCCAAAACAAGTGTTGGTTTCGTAAAGTATGATACTTCCAAGGAAATATATACAAGAATGTTTACAGTGCAGTCAAACTAAAAAGATAACCGAACTTGCGAAGGCTAACAAGGAAGACATAGCGATATCATAAAGTCATCTGAGAGTAACGGCGAATATTCTCGGCATAATAAATATAATATAACAGTTCTTAATTTTGCACGACCAAGAAAGAAGCGGGGAGCGTTTCAAAAGCGCTCTAAATTTAGCGTCGGAGTTCTCCGAAAGAACTTTCTAGACGCTGGTACGAGGTTGCAACCGCGTACGCCCCCAAAGAGACAGTTGGAAGCGTCATTCGATACATTCCAACCAACACCGACTCCTGATGGTAGAGCTCCGCCCCCTCAGCTCTCCAAGTGATCGCGCATGCGTCTCGGGCTGCTGCGCTGAGCCAGGCAAAGCTGCTCGGCAATATCCACAGCCCCATGAGGGTCCGGTGGATCACCCTCCTCGCCCTGATCGGATGGCAGCGTGGACTCGCAACATGCGGTGGGTGGCAAATTTACATTGGACTGTCTCTTTTTAAGCCACAGACCCGTCACATTGGTATAAAGATTAACAATAATAACAAAAATATATTTTGGCATCGCTTCTTTTTATGTGAGCACCAAAAAGAATGCCGATATACTGAGCCGATTCACTTGCGTGGAAAGTTCAAATATAACACTGTCAAAGCTATATACTGGCGCGAGTACGTGGCTTCATCTATGGATTCGTATGTTCGAGAATGCGTATACAAATGATCAACGAGATCTGGGCCCATGCTCGGGCCAGCAGCTTTGATAGCGTCTTATATTAAGTACGAAACGGAGTATATATAGTGCGGCTAAAGTGCAGTGTAGCTACACGTCTCACCTCAAGATGCCCCGAGGCAAAAACTAGAGGCGTTCGTTCATAACTTGGCCAGCGCTCCAGCAGCGCGAGAGCTCGTTGAACCGAGTCAAGTGCTCAGGTAAAAAGATCTAGAACTTTGTTGCTCGTCATTTGTTCGTGGCGTTGTGAAGTCCCAGGTGGAAACGCGTATCTATCTTTATCTAGGAGGGCGCAAGCTTTACAAGTAGGACGCGGTAACGCTGTTGCTACGCCATACAAAAGACTGTTTGCAGACGCTGTCTGTGGCCTGTTTCTTCCTATGGTTTCTTTCTTGTAAGGTCCTGTCACGCTAGTTGTACAGAAACTGTCTACATACATGTTCGAAGCACACACTTCAACGAAGCACAGATGCCTCGCACATGTTTGAGGCGGGTCCACGGACAATTCTGACATCATACCTGCAGCGAACTCCGCATTTTTTGTACGATGTAGAAGTAATGTGACTACAGCTTAAACGAGTTGTACAACCATTTTTTTTTTTTTGCAATTTCAATAACTACCACTTAGACTGCGTAATATATGTTATGAACACCAGTCACTCCATCTAAGCAGTTACTGGCGGAATCTACAGGAAACGATTATACAAACGATCATGCTGATCGACAAAGACTGGTAATCACGAAATCTGTGATAGGCTTCCCACGTAAGAAAAGAAGGGCGTCTGAACGGCACCGCTTACCAAAGATTCGCTGTCATTTCTTACACACGACGTGAAATGGCGCAGTATAACAGGAAAGGCCGCGAAGCGCGCGACCGCGCCTTGGCGCGCCGTGCAAATGAGTTCGCTAATGGGTTATTATTTCCGTGACTGACAGAGGCCAACACAGCAATAAACAAATAAAGTGCGTGGAAAAACAAAACAGCTGGAGTTTGGGGTTTATCACCTTTGGCACCAGCTTCTGCCTGACGGGCACGGAGGGTGTGATTGGAGCCGAGTCCTCGTCGAATGCTGACGTCATCTTCGTGCCTAATATATGCTCATAGTGCGTGCCCAAACACTGGGGGATTCAGATAACTGGCGCTGAAGCTACCAGATGGCGCGCACGTTTGAAAAGGGTCTCGCGAATCGCAACGAAATGGCGAGTTGAGCTAGTTGCTTCATAACGTATACTAAAAGCTACAAAAGACAGACACAAAGTAAAGATTGACGATAGAGGCAAAGTAAATATTGACGAATCCCCTTGTGTTGTATTTAGTGAAATTTACTCTGTCCCTGCTATTTGACGCTCTTAGTACTGGATAGACGTTTCCTGTCTCCTGTCGTTCTCAATCACGTGGGTTCCGTATCCGGTATGCTGGACGAAAAAATAATAAAACATTCCAACCTGGAATGTGCGAGAAAATATAGGTGAGGCCAAACAAGAATGTGTGGCCATCACGCTTTTTTTTTTTTTTTTTTTTTTTGTAAACGTTTTCCAGCGGCTTGGAGAGATCAAAACGATTTTTCACCGCATACCAGAAGTGACGACATTCAAGATGGCAGAGCCCTCTCAACGTCTTATCTCTTTCTTTAGGATTTATTCTTTGCTTTCGCAGACGAGACGCCTTACGAGGAATACGTGTCTCACCGCCAGCTCTTACGGGCCAAGCTCTTCGATCCGTCAAAGTACGACGTAAATCGGCGTCCAGACAACGGCACTTCGAGCGCTACCAACGTGTCTCTACATCTCTTTTGGGAGTACACCACGTTCATGGTAGGTATACTTCACCCTCACGCGCACATGCGTGACGTCTTAATCGCCAACGAGTCATTGTATGAACATTACCACGCAGAATCTCGAAGATGGTTGGCTCTCGCTCTCCATGGTCACGTGCAACGTAAGTAAACGCTAATTTCGTTGTTTTTTTACGCTATACACTAAAAACACTATTTGCAAACAAGCGTGGAATGGCCCACACCAGGTGTAGGCAGTGCGCATGCGCAATGCGGAGCGGAAGTTCGTCTGCTTCTTGCACAGGGGGTGGCGATGATGTCACAAATCCGAGCTCGTGTTGCCTAATGGAAAACTAAAAAAAAAAACAAATAGTGGGTTGAATTGAAGGCCTCCAGCATTGAGGTCTACCCACAATCCTTTCAAAACCAATCAGGGGCCACTGAGGCAGCACCACCTCAGTGGCGTGACTTCAGAGACTTGAGTTGGTGGATAGTCACATACAGCTTAAGAAACAAAGGGCGTCTCTAGTATCCAAGCACTTGCGACGTGGATGTCCACTTCCCGCGCCTCGCATCAGGGTTGTTGCAGTGGGGGGCTCATGAAAATTTTAGAGGTTTTCGGACCCTCCAAACCAGTCTCCCTCCCCCTTCCCCATGCCTACGCCTCATGCTTGCCCCTCTTTGCAAATATCACCTGATATTTCAACCTCTTATCTCCTTTGCGGCAGAAATGTTGGTTGATAAGCAAACCTACCACTAAAATTCGAAAGTAATTTGTAATTTCAGTAGAAGTTACTCAAAAAAGGTAATTAAAGTAAGCTGTTAATTAACGAAATAAAAATGTAATTGAAAGTAACAAAACGACTAAAAAAATGTAGTTAAACTACCGTAACTTGAGTAGATTAGTTGAACTACGTACAAGTCTGCCTCCCAGGGGCTCTCTGGCCTCGTCCGTGTTGTCCGTTACATGGCTTGCATATGACGTCATCCAGAGAGCGCTCCAATTGCCAACAGAGAAGACAAAAAGAAGGAGCTCCCCTCTTACCAGGACCTTCTTTTGTGTCTCCCAGATTTGCCCCAGACCCCATCGCTATTCTCCTCCCGAAGATTAGCCCGTCACTCAAAATTCCTACAAAAGCAGCGTCCCTCTCCTTCTCTTTCATAGTGGTTAAAAGTACGCGATGTGACCGCATTGCAAGCCATGCACATATTAAACTATGGAGCCAGAATGGCGGGACCCCGGAGAACGTTACCGTTAACGTCACTCCTTTTCCTCGGATTTCTCCGGGAGACGTTTTGCGGGTGTCTCGTTCTTTAAAAAAAGAAAAAAAAAAAAAAAAAAGGACATAGTGTTTTTCGCTTCCCCCAAACAAAAACAAATGAAAAACCCTGCCTCGAGGGCAGTATTGTCAGTGATGTTCCCAGTGAAAAGACAATATCATTGTGAATAAAAATTTCCTCCCGTGTTCCTTCCTTTTTTTATTCACACAACCCCAAATAGCGGGTCTTCGGATTTTCCACGACACAGAGAAAACGGCCTGGAACTAATTATCAGGGTTTATTGCACGTTACTCAAATAAAGTGACTAAATTAGAGCTCTGCGCGGGCCTACATTTTGAGGCCCATCCCCGTTGACTCCCATCCTTAACCGACCCGAGCCCGGCTCGGTGGGTTGCCTATACCTCATCCCGTACACCATGGAGGCTTCTATGGAGGCCGTTCACAGGCCTCGATTATTCTAGATGGCGTGGGCTGCAGCAGCACCACCTGGAAGACACGGTTTGGACGCGCATGACGTCATCTGTAGTGTATCACCGACCGCTCCCACAAGCGGAAAATACGCTGAAGCTCGACGGGAGCCACCGCAAAGCGGGAGACGGGTTTGTCTTGACGTCACCGCGTTGTAGCATTTCGCCTGTTGTGAGACATTGCAAGACTCGCCGGCAGCTGCGTTGACGCGAGTAGGTGGCGCTGCGCGCATACTGCTAACGTTTAAAGGGGCCCTGCAACGACTTTTAGAGCGCAGCTCTTAGGTGCCGGCTTGAGCGGCGTCGGCGTCGGCGTAACCGCGAGGTAACGTGACACCCCTAAGGCCATCTGACCCCCTGAGGTCACGTGATCACCCTGAGGTCACGTGACTCCCCTGAGGCCACGTGACCACCCGAGGTCGCGTGACCCCCCTGAAGTCACGTGACCCCCCTGATGTCACGTGACCTCAAGGAGTCACCCATCCCTCAATACGCTTCCATCCTCCTCCTCAAGAGCTGCGCTCTAACCGGCGTTACAGGGAATTGTATACGGCTCTCATTTTTTTACTGGGTTTTAATTTGCACCGTACCTGAGCGCACTGAGCGTAGTAACTTAATTAAACTTTTCTTTCCTCGAATTTCGCTTTCTTTGAAAAGTTATAGGCAAATTAATATTACAAAAACAAGCAAAAAATACCCTCCTTCATGACGTCTTTGGTTGCTTGAGTGGCCGTGAACTGGAGGAGGGATAGTGAGCTCAGCGAGCGCTCAAGGCTGCCGCACTCCGTGTCGACGGCTCGAGAGGTCGCCACTAAAGCATGTGCTGGATAGGCTGCATGAAGCGAGCGGCCAGGGCGGCTCGCATTGCATTTGCTGCGCGATTAAACACTAATTCGGCATGACACTTCATTGGCCACAAACGACGGCAAACAAGGGGTAAAAATCAGTTCAGAACGGGAGCCACTTCGCGCTGTCATAACGCCAAACGGCTAAGCCGCAAGCCAAACATGCTCGCCGAAGGCCTTCGGAACGCTCGGAACCGGTTGGATCCTCGAACCCGTATTCGACCGCAGCGCTGCCGGGTACATCCGGGACCTTTCTATGCTCGCCGCTCGTCGGTGCCTGATCCCACTATCCCTTTCTAGTATGCGCCGCCTCTTCCACCGCTTGGTGGGTATGTCGACGGGTCCTTTCTTGTTTTCGTACTTTATAAACTGCATTTGTTTCTTTTTGGATCTAATTTACTGAACAAAAACTACTTTCATAAATGACTGAAACGGTTCGCGCCTCTTACATTTTGTATTTCGACAAAAAAGAAGATTTTAGCGGCTCTGACCAGTACTAAGTCCAGGACCTAAGACGTCACACATCGCGCGCTTTCAGCACCGCGGGTCGCCCCTGTGTGTAGAGGAGGTTTCCGCGCCGTCCGGTTAAAATATGACGCACTGATATTTAGTTACTCTCTCCGTGCCCACTGGGTTGCCCGAACACCAAGGGATGTGGAAACCGCAAAAAAGGTAGACGCTTGATTGCAGGACCCTTTAAGAGGAGGGGAGAGAGGCCTTGTCTTTTAGGTGGTATTGGCTGGAGTCGCACCCGTTCAGAATGCAGGTTGATAAGCTTCATGTTCAGAAATGCTATTTTTATGCGTTACAGAACTGGTACGACACAGCTCTCGAATGGGATCCGGACGACTACGGTGGTCTCGAGAGCATTTCCACATTTCCGAGCGAGATCTGGTATCCGGATATTGAAATCGTGAACACGTAAGTTCAAGATGAGCTGTACGAAATAAATTTTGTTATATGAAAAAGAGAGAGAGAGAGATTTTGTAAAAACCTTAATGTTCGCGAGCCCTTAATTTTCGCGAATTTCGCGAATTGAAAAAATCGCGAAATTTAAGGGCACGCAAAAATTTCTATTCTTGAGGATAGAAATTTCGTGAAATTTAGTGGCCGCGATTATGTCCTCTGTGACCAATTCGCAAAAAAATAAAGGCCGCGAAGAAAAAAAATAAGGTTTTACAGTATAGTTCAGTTGGCAGGCACGCGCTCACATTATTTCTATCGGGTCTCTGTATTTCCGAACGAAATTTATGCGGCCATGCAAGTTTGTGTGCTCTTTCCGCACCTCGTACGTTTGTTTACGCGCCAGATGCACCCACGTGTTTTTTGTTTCTCTTCGACTTCGACTAACAACGACGCGCGTTTGGCTGCCATTGTCATCGCGCGTTCCCTGCGGGGTTCTCTCTGTTGCCCCTCGATTGGTGGTGCCCTCCTTGCGTTCAGATGCGCCAACGACACGTTTTCGAACACTTGTTCGCAGCATACACCCCATGTAAACTAACGCTTCTAAGGCGCTTTGGAAGGCCCGCGAAAATCAACTTCTCAACGTATCGCGCTACAATATGCTGCAGATGTGCAAGCAGGTGGCGGAAGTTTACAGTGACAAAATCGAGGTTTGAACTTACCTCGTTCAAAAGAAAGAAAACAAAACCCTGTTCTGGGCAATCTACGCCGCCACTTTGCAGTTGACGCACGCGTAGGGAGAATTAAGTGCTGCCGACAGATGCCGTACGCCGCGTCGAGGGAGCGCCGGCCGGCCGATTTGCGTTGTGATAGCAGACGATCTCGCAAAAAAAGCCGAATCGGCCAGCGTTCCCTCGACGCGGCACGCGCCATCTGTCAGCAACACTTCTTTCTACGTGTGCATCGTCTGCGAAGTGGCAGCTTAGATTGCCCAGAATAGAGTTTTCTTTTCTTCCTTTTCTTAATGAGCTCACTGAGCCTTTAATGAAAATAAATTCGATAAAAGTACTAAAAAAAGAAATCAAAAACTGGTGCCTCTCATTACCTCCATAAACACTGCTTTACTCCCATCACTGTATACTTGCCTCTTGATGATTTCGATAGTTGTGTTCATTTTGTTTTGTGCCGAATTGCGGCTTTGTTTTGTATTAATGTTGGTATCAATGGCCACATTGCACTCGTTCGATTTTTTTTTTTTTTATCATGATGTATTAATATGTATTTCGCTGGATTGTCTGGTCCTACGCACAAGCAGAATACTGCTTTTGTAGGCCAGCATTATTTGTATGTATTTGTAAAGGGAATAAAACACATTATTATTATTATATTATTATCCTTTTGAACGGGGTAAGTTCATCCCTTAACTCCTTTTTAATGTAAAATTCCACCACCTGCTCCCTGCTCTGTAGTAATCTGCAGCTAGATATGTTCAGAAGCCGATTTTTTCGGGCCGTCTAATGTGCCTTAGAAGCGTAGTTCATATGCTGTAGAAGCCGACAGCGTAAGAAATAACGGGCGTGGCTTAATATATTCACGCATCTTCGTGATTCGTTCTTCAGTTTTCTCGTTGGCTAATTCCCGCAGCCTGATTGGCTGCGGGACGGTAATGATATGTTCGGGACTCACTACACCCTTCGTTTCTTAAAAGCTGTTAGTAAATATACGGAGCGCAAATTAGTCTGCTTCTTGCGCAAGGGTTGCCGTGACATCATTTAGGCAGAGCTCTGATTGACTCTGATTAAAAGGATAGTGAGCAGACCTCAATGTTAGCTACTTGAGGTCTACCCACTATCCTTCCAATCAGAGCCAATCAGAGGTCGGCGTTTTGACGTCACCACAGCTCTCCGAGCAAGAAGCAGACGAACTTCCGCCCCGCATAGGAAGGTGTACCCTCAAGCTTTTTTTTCACCAAAGATGAGCACTTGGCTAAGCGGAGTTCTTTCTTGTCGCTGTCCAGTTACCGTGAAGAGATACATCAATGTCAGACAGAACGCGCCAGATTCGTAGCTATAGCACTAAGGACGCTCGCTAACATCCTAAAAGCTATACTTCGTTTCAGCTTCGGTCAGAGCGCGGCCGATGTTATGAGCCGAAGGGCCAATCAAAGAGCGAAAGAGGCACAACGTCATAGCGTACTCTATGCAGTTGATAGGACAAGTCGGTATTCGCCGTCTCTCTGTGGGTGCTCCTGCGTCGGCTAGTCCTATGAAGCGCAGAGAGCACACCATGACGTTGAGTTTTTTGCGCTGTTTGATTGGCCCTTCGGCTCATAACATCGGCCGCGCTCGGGCGTAAGGTGAAATGAAGTATAGCATGCAAGCACGAAGACCGCTGTCACACACTGCTCGTACATTATATAAAAGACAAGCTGTTCGCTAGAGGCACGATGACAGAATTACACGCGAACACGCCTCACGTATGCGTTCGAGGCATGCTTGCTTCATATACATTTGAACATGTCTGCAAACTGTCTGTTGCATGATGTTCGGGGACATCCATTTGGCTTTAACTTGTCAATTGTTTTTAATGTCATTGGGATGACCGTACGTTGTCATTATCAGATATGACAATTGTCTGGGGGCAGGGATCAAAAAAAAAGGGGGGGGGGGGGTTCTGCACTTCTGTAGAGTCGATCATCACCCTTTCTTACGTTAATATTTTATTAGGTATATATAGTTATATGTATAAAACATTCTTGCCTGCCAGTTTTGTTTTAATGCAGATTCACACCTTAAGTGTAGGCAGCCAATTCCAAGACTATCTGACTACACTTCAGAAGCTCGAGGTAAGGAGATCAAAGAAATCGGCTTCGCATCAGCTCGGAATCCCACTACAGCCTAGGCCGAAAACACTTTCTTTAAGTGCACTAACGCTCGCGTAATGTTGTATAATTGCTTTCCAGTGCAAAACTCGGAAACGACGAAACGACGAATAAATTGATTAAGTTTATGAAATAAAATACAGAAAGTGGTTTCGTAAACTCGTCACAAGAAAGTACTCTGTGCTTCGGTTAAGGGAGACAAAAGACCTATATCGATGAAATAAAAATAATAAAGTGCGATTAAGATTCTGATGATAACGATGATGGAAGGTACAAAGGCCCAAAAGTAAAAAAAAAAAATACTATTAATTTTTAACTCGGTGGTATATTGCGTTTTGATTCTGCTCGTCTTTACTTTAGAAATAAACACGGAACGCCATTACAAGTTCCAATTTACTGCTGCTAGAAGTCGAAATCGTCTATGTGGTGCGAACCTACACTGCTTAACTCTCTGGAATCATTATTAACTGAATACCGGTTTGTTCGTGCAAGGACACGTGCCCAAAACAACAAGTTGAAACACAGCAGTTAAATAAACTGGAAAAGTGTTCGCAGCTCAAATACGGGCGTTCACGAGGCACCCACACAAAAAAAAAAAAAAAAAAAAAAAAAAACTGCACCGACCTTGTTTCAGTGCACACACAAAACACGAACACTGCTCACAGGCATAACAAAAGCTACTTTGGTGGTACGAGTAATCTTCAGCTGACGATTGCCATAATGCTAACCAAAGCAGTGATAACAGTGCTAATACATCGTTCAAAAGACAGTGTGCAGGCATGTTCGAAGCACACATAAGTGTGAAACAGCCGTTCATTCAGCATGATTGAGACGCGACCGCACATGATTCATGTCGTCATATCCGCAGCGAACGCGCCGTGTTTTTTGTGTGAAGTGTGAGCAGTGCGACTTAAAGAACAACTAAAAAAACAATTTTCTTTTTCTTAACAGTCTAGTTGGGACACGCGTGTCAAAAAATAAATTTTACGTGTAAAAAAAAAATTGGAGCAATATTGACGGCGCTAGACGCGATTTAGTGGTGAGTCACCTCCTTTCTATTTATTTCTTCTCTCGGCATTCCGGGCGCGTGGACGAGAGAAGCTGTGAGAAGCGGAGACCATTATGTTGAGGTGGAGAGAGTGAATGACCATCTCGCTGTGGTGGAAAGAGTGTATGACCCTTCAGTGACGTCATGAACTTGGCGCGCATAATTCAGACACAACTAAAATAAATCTCGCGCCGTCAATATTGTTCTAAACAAAATTGCGGAAAATTCGTTTTTTGACACGCGTGTCCCAACCAGACTGCTTTAATAAAAATATTTGTTTTAAGTGGCCCTTTAAGCCATAAGCAACCTACACATCTCTTTGTTTCTTATCACACGCCATAAAGCAAAAATGCACAATTTTTTTTTTTGTTTTTTGTTTTCTAGAAGCTTCGACGACTACACAACGGAGACGATCACGGTCTACTTGCATCACGACGGAGAAATCTGGTTCTGTCAGCCGGTTACGGCCAAGATACCCTGTTCGATGGACCTCACGGACTACCCGTTCGACAGCCAGGTCTGCAGGATACGCTTTGCGTTGTTAGCTTATGGGGACGAAGAGGTCAGGCTGGGTGGCGAGGGGACCATGAGCCACAGCGTGACAAACCAGAGTTCAGAGTGGCAGGTCACCTTCCTGGACACGTCTCACGGGACGCTCCTCAACAAGACGACCCTGGACATGGCCATAGGGATGAAGAGACGTGGCACTCATCATCGTTACACAGCGACGCTGCCGTGGGTCGCGTCGGTCATCATGATGCTACTGGGTTTCTGGATGCCCGCCAACTCAAGCCGCAGGCTGACTTTGGCGTGCATCAACCTGCTGCTTATCATGCTGATGCTCCAGCGGATCACAGTGCTACTGAAGACGTCTTCGGCAGTTCCTAAGTTAGGTGGGTTTTTTTGCTTCTGACAAATAGTGTCATGCGTTTCTCTCTCTTTTTTTTTTTACAGCATCAATTAGTATTAGGTTTGTCGTACATGGAGAGCATCGTGTTGCCGAAAAGGAACGGAGCTTGCGCAGGCACGCAAGCGCTCATCGTGGTTGGCCCCCTGCCCCATTTTGAGGCAGGGGGCCAGCAAAACGTAACTTGGCCGTCACAAGTTAAAATTCTAGTTTTTTTTATCTTCCTCCTTAGCACTTTCTTGAGTTAGGCAGTTCCCGGTGATGCCGCAGCACTGTGTACATCGCGGCTCCGCCTTGATCCGCTTTCGGTACTGCCGGTACTCCGAAGCACAATGCTCCGAAGAACCCGAGTGATTCTGGTTTGGATGGACTGTTTGTTGGGGCAGCTGAGGGCTCATGGCTGGGAGTACCAGGTCCACCGAGTTCAGTCCTGCTTACACAAGAACGCCAAATCACCTCTCACCTACTGGCCACGTGGGAGTTCGCTTTAGCGCCGGGAGAGGGCGCCACCTTCTATTTTTCGACTTCGGTCGCCCGTTCGCTCTCCGCTCGGTCGCTCGGTCTTCCCCTGGCTGTTGGGATGGATCGCATGGCTGTTGCGTTTGTGACCGATTGTGGTTTGCGCGGGAGCTGGTGTCTGCCGGCGGCTTGCCACGATGTTCTTCAGTCGTCGTACCTGGAAAGTGAGATGTCTGCCTTCAAGGTGTGGGCTACGTGCCTACACAGTCTTCCTGCTGGCAAGATCCCGAATCTTACCACGTGCTAAGAGTGCGCCTACCCACCCATGCTGGAGGTTATGCCTCAATTGAATCTCGTGAGCGAGCGTTTAATATCTGCTTGGCGCACCAAGCCTTTCGCGTAAGGATGGCGCAGCCGAAGTCTACGCCGGAGCAAGCGGAAGCTGCTCTACGGCGCAAACGCTCCCGTCAGGGAGAACTTCGTCGATGTGTGAGCGTGACGCTGTCCATTCGCACCACGTCACGTGATCGTCCCCGCAATTTTCGAGAGGTAGTACTTATAAGGCTCATTCACACTGCCCCATTTTCTTCCGTTAAGTTACGTTAGGTATAAGTCACCGAAACATTCGTGTCTCGAATGTCGGGTGTCATGCTTTCTCCTTGAACTGGTAGCCTCGCTTAATATGAAGCACAGAGGTCCCGGTGACTTCAACGTAATATCTCGTAACGTAACTTAACGTACGAAAATGGGGCAATGTGAATGGGCCTATACTCTGTGTAAATCAAGTATTGTAAAAAACGTCAGTGTGAAATGTCAAGTTTCAACAGATATCGGTTAAGTTACGTCCTTCGATAGGGTTCCCTGACACAAAACCCTGCGTATGCCGAGTGGTATTCACTTGTCCAAATAGTTTAACGCACTGTTCCCAGGCTATTTACTAACAGCTCCCGCTTACCGTCGGAAAATAACAACACAAACTTCTGATGACCTGATATGCATATTGCAGAATCGTTCTAGAATTAAGCTTGGCAGACGCTCAGCATGCTCCGAACTCATTAATGGCAGCCAGTTATTTCCATCTACATTTCAAGAAAACTGGAGCGTCTACTTTTTCGTAAAGCACTTGCGAGTGTAATGGTGAACTTCTAGTGGAATCAGACGTCGTTAGCAGATGCACGCTGTACGCAAGAAAAGAGCGTTTTTATTTTCTTACATTTTATTCAGGCACGTTCATTCTTTGCAATTTTGAAACACCCAATGTACCACCTAGGGGCACCTCTGCACTAAGTTTTAAAAGTCAAGAAACCGATTTATGCAGTTCCTTCAAAGGGCCAACGCACCATCGGGTCCACACAGTGAAGTTTTCCTTGCCTATGGAACGGAACATCGTAATGCCCCTAAAGATAGCCAGTCAGTTTTCCACAAACTGCTCTCCCCTCTCTGCTGCGATGTCCACGACAAAGACGCGGCTACTGCGCACGCGCGCCGATAGCCTTGCCTGCTGAGATACAGATCTATAGTAGCCGGTTCCGGAGAGCGTTTCGTGACGGCACAAATGATACGCAAATGATGTACTAAACCGCGGTCACACTACTAAGACATCACACAAAATACAGCATGCAGACAATGAATGCAGATACTTCTGTCCTCCTGTTTGCAGCGAGCATGCATGCATCTTTTGCATGATGTAATGAGCAGAGTAACTGCGGCTTAACAGCAGAAACACTTGTTGTTTTGCTCGGTTGCAGCCTTCTTCCTCGGCAACGTGATGATGGTTCAAGTCGTTGCGGCGGTTGTGGCGGTTCTGGTACTCAACATGGAGTCCTCCACGATGCCGAGCGAGGTGCCCGAACCGGTGGTCCGGTTCCTCACCGGTTCGGCGGGGAGGTTCCTCTGCCTGGCTCAGGAAGGCTCCGGGGCGGACCAGAGTCCGGAGGATTCCGAAAACCCCTTTCCCGCCAAAAGGAACGACCTGGAGAAGAAGTGCGACTGGATGCTCGTGGCTCAAGCCTTGGACAGACTGTTCTTCGCGCTGTTCAGCATTGTGACACTCTGCGTCATGCCGTGGTGAATGTACGGCATCGGTGCAAAATAAACGAGAAACACCAGTTCAGAATTTTGTAATTTCACTAGAAACCACTGTTCGCGCCGAATTTAGATTCCACCAATTTTTTTTTAAATGATCTATGGTCACTGAAAGGTTAAAAAACGCAGGGCGCGGCAAGGGTCATGTCGAGACCGGTTATAACGAAGTCGGTTATAATAAAATAGCGGCTACAGCGGAGTGATTACGATTTCCCATTGCCTTTTGCGCTTCGTTATAACCGAAGTCGGTTATAGCGTAATAGCGGATATAGCGAAGTGATTTCCGATTCCCATTGACTTCGTTATAACTGTTCTCGACAGTAATTGTCACTTTTTAGCCAATGATTTTGCGGCATTTGACGATAAGAACGCCGTGCAAGGAATCGCGAAGCTATAGGAGCATAATCGTTTTATGCCACGCCTTACATGTCTCCAGCTCTCAGTGATAATACAGTTATAATGCGCGTCTACATTTTCCCTAAAATGCTGCTTTGATTAAAGCGCTGGTTTTGGGAATAAGCTTAATTTAATTTTAAAAACCCCAACTCTATCCGCCCGGCAATACGACTCAGTGATCTTCCAGCTGGGTGTATATGGGGTTGTCCTAAGCGTATCTCCCGCCATAAAACGAGCTGAAAAAATCGGCGCCTGAACATAAAAGGTTCACATTTTCTTTTAATGTGCACTGAGCAGGTCAGTTTTACTCAATGAAACATGAAGGTGCAGTTCTCTTCCTCCAAAAAAATGAGGGCAAAAAACTTACCAAGGTCAGTGTTGGGCGCGTTCGCAGACGATCGAGTTAGAGATGCGATTTACTTGCGGCGCCATCTCCCGATAGGCGCAGTGAGCAGACGACGCACTCTGTTGTCGGCTCGCAGCGTCTATCAGGATATAACGCCGCGGAAATGACGTCGCTTAGCGTCGCTACCTAGGTCATCTGCGAACGCGCCGAACCTTGACTTCGACAAGTTTTTTGCTCTCATTTTTTACAGGAAGAGAACTGCGCCTTGAAATATCAAACAGTAAAACTGACCTGCTGTACATTTAAGGGATATGGATTTTACCCTTCGACATCTCAAGGCGTTGCTCCTCAGGTGTGAAAAATAAGAGCAAGACTTACCATAATCAACGACGGACGTGTCCTCAGACGACCAAATTAGCGATGGTCGTAACTTGTGTCGCCATCTCCCGATGTGCGCAGTCCTTAGTGAGAACGTCGAAGTAGATAATTTCTCAACTATGATCTTTTTTTATTTCGCAAAATACTTTGGTATTTGCAATTCTAGGCGCGAACGCATAGTCTCTGCCTGTGATTCTAGGCCATTTTTTTTAGAATGTTTATTTTTATATCTATGGTGCGCAAGCTGAGTGCATTCAGTTTTCCAAGAATTAAAATCACACTATTGAAGGCAAACTGTCAAAATTATACTCCATCTCGCAAGTTGTGCTCAGTGCTATCCTAATGAGCGAGCAGATATGTATGGCACATTTATTCAGAATGTAAGAGCACTTGCGTGAGAAAAGCAACGCTCACCCGTCGATGTCTTATGAAATGCTGCGCGCGACTGTTAGATGGAGACATGGTTGCCAGAGTAAACCGCCATCAGTGCTGCGGTGAACCCCGGTCTGGTGCACAACAAAAGCCACGGCACAAAGTCGAAGTTGGTAAACGTATATCGTGCTGCGGTCTTCTGAAGACAAGGTCTCGAGCTCTTGGCCATATTGGTAATGTTTAATGTTTCTTTAATAACAAAAATCCTATGAGAAATTGTCATGCTTCCAACAGAAAGTGAGGCACAAGCAGAACACCTGTTCATAATCTTGACTGTGGCATAGGGTGCCAACAAAGGTTTCTATTCAAGAGACAAAATGACCCATTACGGTTCTTGTAGTCAAACTCAATGGTCCTTGCAATTAAGGCGAACATTCCCGAGTCTCGCAGAAATCTTTGCGAACACGACCTCTGCGCAAAGCTCTCACTGCGTTTTCACTTTCGATTTTGAAAACCTTCGATGGTAGCGTTCATTCTAAAGTTCACGGTGTCCGTACCTCCTGGCGTATCAGTCATCAGACGCATACCAGGACGTAGGTGGTTGCAAAGACAAGGAAGAGTACACGGTCTAGAGCTTGCGCCGCGATGTACCATTCCCGAAGTGCCGCGTCGTCATACGTTGTCTCCTCCTGGTCTTCATCGCTGTCTTTTCGTCGTCCAGAAAGTCCCGGTGTCCCTGCTTGTCCCGGAACCGGACAAAGAAAAGGCACCCCAGTTGCCACTACTCGAGACACCTTGGCAAGGATGGCGGGAAGCCTTCTTCTTTGGACGGACTTGATCATGTGCATACTGACCACGGTGCAAACGGCGATGAATGCGTTTGACAGGACCATAGTTCCCAGTACAATCACTGTGAAAAGAAAAAAAAAAAGCGCAGAAGGTCACCTTATGTAGTCACATTTGGGGTTCATACGCAGGATTAAGCCGCGGTCATACGGCTAATAAATCATACAAAAGACATGCCGCAGACAGTGTCGGAGGCTTGTTTCTTCCTTGCATGACGGTTCAGTCACGTTGGTCACACTAACACTGTCCGCAGACATTGTCGAAGCAAACATGCCTATGAAGCGAACATGGTCCCACAATACTTGGGGCCCGTCAGCAGATAATTATGACATCATGTCTGCAACGAACACTGCTTTTGAATGATGTACAAGCAGTGTAACTAGAGCTTTGCGATATCGGGCTAAGGAGGGTCAGTCTCCTAACTTTGTAACCTCGTGAAATACCAAAAGCGCCTCGTGATCGCCCATCAAAACTTCTAATTTCGGTGTAAATAATTCCTCACAAGAGCGATCCTAGCGTAAGGTGACTAAGAGCACAATTTGTGCTTGGCCCACAAGCAAACAAGCTATGTATACGATGAATGTCTAGACTGCGAGAGGTCGGCCTGCTGTTGACGTATGCCGAGAGTGGTTCCCGCCCTAGATGTGCAAGAACCGATGTCGACTAATAAGGGAGTTTTCGTAGACCGCGTGTCCCCCTCCGCTAAGCCCTACGCAACGAAGAAGCCGCTACTGCGCCTGCACTCCAATGGCCTTGGCTGCAGAGTTGCGGGTATCGTAGCGGGTTGCGCAGAGCGTTGCGGGACGGAGCAAACGATCTTCAAAAACTCCCTAATAGGTAGTTTTCGTAAACCGCTTTTCTTCTTCCGCTAAGCTATCCGCAAAGAAAAGACCGCTACTGCGCTTGCGTCCCGCTAGCCTTGACCGAAGAAACCCTGATCTCGTATCAAGTTGTGGAGAGCTTTGCGGGATGGCGGAAACGATCTACGAAAACTCCCTAATACCTGTATATTAACCTCGCGATCGGATCCACCGGAAAGATTGTCACAGGCATTCATGAAAGGGGCCGTTTTATTTTTTGTGGCGTGGAGGTTAGTGAAATAGATGCAAGAGCGTAGATGAATTTGTGACAGTAAATTATGATTCCGTGTGTTTAAATAGAAAAAGAAATCACGGTAAAAATTTTGTAAATTAGGATAACGAAGAACATGAGAAAATCCACTCCGTTGTCCTTCGTCCCGTTCCTAACCACATACTGTTAACAAACCGGTACGGGGAAAGGCTTATTCTCATGGCCCATTCAGCACGACTGGTCAATATTGGTTCGATAAACGTTGAATCTTCGAAATAGTCTACCCCTGAAATTGAGACCATGTTTCATTCGTGTCCTTGATGTTGGTGATCTGTTCTTCAAAGTTATTTTCGTGAATTTCTACAACACCAAAGATAATCTTTAAATAATAAAAGATGTCAGCTTCGGGACAGAGGATAGGGAGGGTATAAGTTCTGGAATAAATACTATGGTAGGTAACAGGTTAGAAGTTAAGTGGAAGCTCCTTCACCTCTTTCCACTTTAGCGAACACTGGAAAAGAGGCCGTTTCCTCTCCAGTATTCGCTCTGCTAAAGTGGAAGTGGGAGGAGCTTCCATTTTACTTTCAATCTGTCATCGACTATAGGGAAGGTATCAGCTTCACCACCGAAACAAAGACTAGGAAAGGTTCTCACTTTTGAGATAAAAGCTAGAACAGGTATCAGCTTCAGTACAAAGACTATACATGGTTCTTACGTGACGTCACTTCCTCTACTCCCGCCCGCCGACCGCCATTGCCAGGAACTGAGAAGCAGACGCGGACGCTGCCGCCGCCGCATGTGCGCCACTCGATTGCGACTTCGCTACGGAATTTGCATCGCCCGTACAGCGAGATGGCGAAAGCCACTCGCCATGAGTTCTGCCCTTCCTCTTTCGAAGAGCTTGTTGGCCCCACACGGGCCCGGCATGGGTCTAAAGATGTGCGACGGCGACGATCCGTACAGGATACGCGCCGGCGCGGACACTACACCCGAAGCGGACGTGCTGCCAGCCACGACGCACGTGTACATAATTAACTATCTGCTTTTCTCGACGAACTACATGTCACTGCAACGGATGAAGGCCTTCAAGGCCCTACATGCCAATAGCTATTGCACGAGTGGATGGGCGAAGAGCCTGACAGCGATGCGTCTCCCATCAAAGCGTATCGTCGTGCTGAGCGAGGTAGGTTGACAGGCAATAAAACAAGCATCTTTATGAGCCGAAGAGCCAAAGGTTTGCCTGCTAACGAAGAGATCTGCCCGTACTTGCTGCATTAGAATTCGCAGCATCTTAGCTCGGTAAACTCGGCGCCACCATCGCAACACCATCGACACAAGTGTGCTACAAACACTACACAATTACAGAAACGCTTCGAGAAAGGTAAAAGCAAGTGATCTGGTGCAAAGCAAAGCAAAGCACCAGATCACTGCCTCAGCCGCTATGGCAATGTGCACAGGGTGCGAACAGAAACATTTAGGAATTTGCGCACAGTTGAGCAACGTATTTCTTATCTGTAATGAAGTGACGACAGCAGACAAGGACGTTGTCCAGGTTCTTAAGATTCTTACGATGTATGCTTCCAAGCCAGAAGCTTCGGCGTTTCTTGGAAAGCGGCTGTACGCTCACACTGCCGCGTTATCACTTTTGGCAAACGGTTCAGCCCTACATTTGGCTCCCTGTTACTCTGCTGTGCAGAGGACATGCTTCTGCTTTGGCAGCCGAACATGGTGCACATCGGCATGACTGCACCACTGCGACCGTGACCGTACATTAGAAGAAAGAAACGTGCACTGTGTGCGCCGCAAAAGCCGCGACGCAGCCAACACAGGAGCGGCCAACGTTGCCGGCGCCAATCCCGAAACCAAAACTATGTCAGCACCTGGTAAATGGCGTTGACATATCCCATAAGCCCCGGCTGTGACGTTCGTGAGAACTATGTATAGAGGAAGTAGCAACTTCGGGACAAAGAGTAGAGAAAGTATCAGCTTCGGAACAAAGACTATGGAAGTTATCAGCTTTGGCATAAAGTCTAGAGAACATATCAGGTTTGAGGCAAAGACCTTCCACCGTGCACACACCTATTTTGGGGGCTTTGAAGGACCCCTCGGCCACATCCGCAACCCTGTACAGCAGTAGAAGGGACACCAAGATGGACGCTCCAATGAGGGTGAACTTCCGGTCAGAGGCCGGCGGAAGCCAGAAGACCAACAGCGACACCAGGCCCGCCCCGGCCGTGGGCAGAACCACCGTGTACAAGTGGAGGCTACTCGACCTCTCCAGCAGGAAGTTATACACGATGAAAGGGTACGTGAAGTCTCCTCCGTAGTTCTGAACGCGCCTAAAAAAAGAAAGGTAGAGGTGGGACATAAGACGCGAGCTTCCTGCCACTGGTCTACTCAATGCGAGAAATTATTAAATACGCTTTAAGGTTCCAGAAATCGAAATCTTGACTTCAATCAACGCGCTTCAAAGTCATAGAGTCTCAGTGGCATCAAAAGAAGAAAAAAGGGGGGAACGGTTGGTCAACAATTTTTTTAAGATTAAAATATCGCACTCAGACTTGCATGCATGGGTTGTAAAGTATAACTACAGTACAATCAACTGCAAATCGGTAAGTAGGTGCGTTTGTTGTACCGAAGGTACGAACCTATGTACTTTTACTTTTTTCGTATTTGTATACCTGTGTCTTGGGTACAGTTTCCAGTAACTTGTGACTTAGTGAATTTACTGATTGCAGATACGTTTTGATCGCTTTAGCCAAGCTACAGACACGGTAAGAACTGGAAAGTATTGATGCGCTAATGTGGAGCCGAAGGGCACATTCAGTCAGAGACAAGAAACATCGAGATAAATCCAGACGGTGTCATTTGGTTGCCATTGTCCCCAGAATGAGCACATTAATGTTGACAGCATGAGACGGCATGTGATCGTCGACTCCGCACTGCGTTATGGACGCTACAGAAACGAAGTAACGAAACACGTTCCTCGTACCTTGCAGATACAAGTGATATGCTACCGCCTCTACGTAACCCCAAACAGAAAGAAACACGCTAAGATTACAATAAAAAGTCACGCACGCATGCTTTGGCATTCCTTTTTTTTTTTTTGTATGATAATGTATTATCCCTTTAAAAAAAAGTGTTCACGACTTTTTTTTTTTTTTTTTGTCTCTTTGGAGGCACGTTTTCTTCTCCTATTGGAGGCAGGCTTTGAATGTCATAAAGGTATTGTTCACTCTTAGGAAGGGTAAGTCGAGGTGTTACAATAAGCTTGATAATGCGAATGCTTGGGCTAGTAGGTAATTCATACTTGGATGGAGAGAGAGAGAGTCATTTTATTAAAATAATAATAAAATTTGGAAAGGGCTAGTCTAGCCGATAAAGGCTCCGGTAGTGCGGTACGCGGAACACCGTAGCGGTTTGCTCAAAGTCCCTAGTACATTTTAAGCAGCCGTATCAGTACTTAGGTGCATTCTTCAGTGAGTACCTAGATACGTACCTCAGTACGTAAGGGCCTAAGTGAGCTGGTGTACACTGAACATTTTGAAGCAACGCGAGAGTCGAGACTGAGTCACACGAAAGTTGACACCAAGAGGAGACAAGGAGAACGTCTCAGAAAGAGAAGCTTCTCTTCTCTTGGTGTCAACTTTCATATCCTCCAGTCTCGGGTCGCTTCAAAGTGTTCAGTATACGCACACCTCAGGTACTTTTTGCACGAGTCACTGTAACTATATCTTAGGTACAATTCTGAAGTACCTTTACAACCCTGCTTCTACGTAACGCGTTACTTGTACCTAAGTTACCTTTATGGGTGTAGCGAAGTAATTACCTAGTTACTTTGCAAGACAAGGAACGAGCACCATATATTTTCGTTACTTTTTGATGACGTAACGACCAGTGGTATTTGGTTATTTCTGGAAGCGCCCCGTGTTCAACACAGGTACCCAGTCTAGTTCCCCTCCCCCCCCCCCCCCCCCCCCCCCCCCCAGCTCGCACATGCAATTTGCACAACGAAAACTCTAGATACCCCCCCAGCATTATGGTATATGTCAATATAGCCACGGTAGTTCCCGAGTTTACGCGTTAAAAAAAGCGAGGAATCACTAAACGCAACAAATATAGGAAGCGACTACGCCTTCGTGAAAACGACACATTCAGAGTAACACGAATGTAATGCGTTGCGTTCGAGCCGAGGTAGGGCGTTCCCTTTAAATCGCAGTGACAAATAACGTATTTAGTTCCTCCTTTGAGCTAGTCACGGGTAACGGTAATTAGTTACTTTATTTTAGTCGAGTGTACGTGTCTGATCCAAGTCCTTCACTCAGTCTCACTTTGTGTCCGACCGTAGCTGATGCCACATTCCGACAGATCCAATCAAACAGTGCCAAGAAAGTGCACTCTCCCTGCGCTCGTTGTCTTTCTTGGTATGCTATATGATCGGCTCGACCGATCATGCACCAAAAAAAAAAAAATGGAGAACGCTTAAGCTTCGCCTTTAAAGAGTGGAACGCGATAGCGAAACATATAAACATACATATTCCCCGTTCGTTCCAGAGCCGTGCAAGCGAGCCTCGCGTGGCAAAAAAAATCTGTTACCTCAAACCTCATTTGCTGACCTTTGTTGTATCATCCTACGGCAGTGAGTCATTAAGACTGTGTATGGTTTTCACAAAAAGGTTGTCGACGCATTCCACTTTTTGTCTTTCCGCTTTTGTTTGGAGTACCTGTACGTGGAAAGCAAGAAGACGCTGAAACGTGACTTGGTGTTAAGTTTGTTTTTTGCCCCGCTGTACAAAAGTGTCATTTGCAGCGATGGTTGCGATGTACTTAAACGTGTTAAGCGCATGTGTGTTCCACACGCTGTCAAAAATTTCTTTTTCACATTGCATAGCAACACGCTCCCAGTTGAAGCTTGGCCTAGAGAAAAGGGAGTGTGTGTGCCGGTGGCCGGTGGAGTGCATGTTGCCTAAACAACCCGAGACCGTTGAGCACGTTTTTATTTTTTGTTGGGACGCAGTTCTTTTTTATGTTTTTCAGCGTACGTTAAAGAAAGAGTTGTGCTTTAGCCCGTCGGGCATACGTTTCTTGAGCGTAAGCGGCAACGATTGTGTACCATTTGATATGTTCTTTCTTTTAAGACTGTGCGAAATTCCCACTCGAGGTCACGTGGCTGTGACATCATGACCCTATCGACCAATCCTAGATTTTAGCGCACGCCGGCTTTTCTGCGACGCGAGTTCCTCGTCGCCGTCGCTTTAAGAAAGCGCAGAACAGAGTGCACAAAGGCGACGAGCGACCTTTGCAGCCGCTCGACTGGTCGGACTGAACGTGGAACGGAACATGGTAGTAACCGGTGGCCGTATAACGTTCCTCACCTGGTGGTGGTAATAGTAACGACGTTGAACTCGGACCTTCCCTCGGGAGCCGCCGGTTCGTTTCCGACGGTCAGGTTCACGTTGGACTCGGTGTCGATGAAATTGGTGAACTCGACGATGCACTCGTGCCGATCAAACGGAAAGTGCGTCATGTCCGTCTGCGGTGGGTGGGGTTGTGATAGATGGATCTCGGTTACGTGAAAGAGTACCGTAACGCACAGACATAGCTCTCGATTTGAAGTCGATTTCTACATACAATTTTTTTTTAAATTAATTATACCTTTTTGCAACGAAATTGGCATTGTCTGTGCCATGACGACCACTGCTAATACGTCGTACAAAAGACAGTTTGCAGACAGTGCTAGAGGAGTGCTTTTTGATGTCAGATTGGCTATCCAAGAACGGTCTTCAGACATGTGGTAAGCATGCATACGTATGAAGCAAGCATGTTTCGAATATGCTTGACATGAGTTTGCAGATAATTTGTTTGCTTGGCACGCCCTGCCTTTTTTAAACAGTCAAGGACCATAAAAGAAATTATGCGAGTTTACGCTGGCCAATCATGGCGTACAATAGAAGGATCTCAGCGAACGACAAACTGCGGAAATGTGCACATAAAGTGAACTGCACACAAACTATGAAGGCTCTTTCCGGCAGGATTTGTGTACCACCACGCGACTGGTCACAAAGCTTCGGTTCGGGGGGGGGGGGGGGGGGGGGGGGGCGCCCATTACACAATGCTGTTTGAGGGGGAGGCGGGAGAGGAGGGTCCCAGTAAAATGGAAGATTTCGGGGGGGGGGGGGGGGGCCGGGCCCCATGCCCCCCCCCCCCCCCCCCTTTCTGGCTACGTGCCTGATACAAACTGGTGTTTATGTAGCGTGTTCACTCACGTAAAGGGGCAAAAACTGACGCTAGGAGCGCTGCTGTTCGGGAGGGATGCGTTTTCATTTGGCGACCCCTCTCTCACTGACCCTAAATTTGCAATTTGTTGCGCCTTTAATTAATGAGTGTACGCAAGCACCAGTAATTATTTTCTTAACATTGAAATAAAAAAAGAAAACATATCGTTTTTGTTTTTTTTTTAAACATAACGGAGCTTTTGTCAGCGAAAAAGAGCCAAGCACTTGATCGTATCGGTTCGCAGTGTCTCTATTTGACGGTGCTACTCGCGGCGCTGAACTTTGCCGGCGATAGCTGTGTTAAGACTTCATTTTGAGACAAGAAGAGGAATGATAAATGATATTGTTTTAGGGGTATGCTGCACAAAAAGGAAGTTTGATCAGTTAAGTTGACTGAGTGTACAGAGCCGAAGACGCTTACAATAACGAGAAATGCTGCCAATGCGATGATGCGCGCGTCACCGCGATGTGCAGCAAAGGATGTCTCACATTGTTTAATAAACGCCTACCTCTCTCTCACCCCGAGACAGACAGCCACGTAATAAGCACCCTAACTCGGTCATAAGCAGCGGCAAGTGTGTGAGCCAGAGAACGATTCCATCCGCTTAGCTGGACGGAATCGTGTCCCGTGTGTGAACGATCTTCGATGCGTACCTTGCATGCGGCGTGGATGGGATGCACAGGACAGTAGGACACGCCTCCACCAGGAGTAGCGAGAGCCACGGAGTCCGAGCGTGAACTCAGATCGACGCTGCATGAAGGGCAGAAAGGGGGGAGGGGGTGCAGAGAGTAGGGATCGTTGCGAGTTCTCCACCATCTTGTTTCTCATAATCCATCACTCTAAAAGCCGCAGCATTCGCCTTGCTATAACACACCATGCAAAAAGACAGTCTGACACACTGTCTGAGACGTTTTCTTTTCTGTACCACGCTCCTGCCAGGTTGGGCATACAAAAGCTGTCTGCTTAAAACTGTAATGCAAACAGTAAGTCTGTATAATGCAAAAGCTGTCATCGTGCCTGCAGCGGACATAGCGTTTTTATCATGGTGTATATGAGCAATAACAAAATCTGCTCCGTCCTTTTTTTTTTTTTTTTTTTGCAAAACGCTCGGGAGAATTGATCGCGGCGATGGCAGAAGCTCGGCGAATGATGAGGCGGAAAATATGATTAGGGGTCCTATAAGAAGATATAATCTGCGCTGCGACGAATGGTAAAACGTCGTGCTCAGTGTCATAGCGCAAACTGTTTTTAATTTTTTTCCCCTCAAGATAAAAGAAGTTTTGCGCATTGTTCATACGTCGCGCGAAATAGTTCCTATACAAGATTTTGTTGTTGGAGGAAGAAGCGATGTTTTTGGCGTTTGAAACAGTACGTCTTGATAAGACAAGATATATCTTAATCTAACACGCCACCTATATACATAATATCTCAATTCTTCGCATAAAGGGGGAAATTAGTAATGCAACGCAAAGGAGCCGGTCTTTTTTTCTTTTTTTTTCTACGGTTTTTGAGGTGAAAATGAGTGTACCAGCCAACGAGACTGCGGAAGTAGTTGACACCAACGCCGAATAACAAATGAGAAAGAGATTAAGTATAGCGAACTATACTCGCACGCCATTCCACTGACCAAGAAGCGTGCTTGTTCCGGAGTAATTTAAAGAATAAAAGCGAGCTTTTTCTTTCGATATCTCCGTCATAAAACTCGACGACTTCGTTCGGAGGTCCCTGTGCATAGAGTTATTATAATGTGCGCTATAGGTCACACCGGCGCTTGTGTTCTCTTCAAATGGAAGCAGACAGCAAACAGTCGGAAATTGATTTCCGGTAATGCATTTCTATGAGAAATGAGTGCATTTTCTCCATGTGCTTCATTATAAGAGCAAATACCACGAATGAATCGTATACGTGTTAGGTAGCCCGGAATATTTCTCAGTCACGCAGACGAAAATGTTGGTCAGTTGCGGTGCTTTCTTTCGAGATCATGGCATTAAAAACGGTGCTAGAATGGCTTCATACATGTACTTATGTGCACTGTACGACACTGTTAGCGCGAACACGGCATCGGTGATTTTCTGCAGGTGGGATTACGTGCCAAGGCAATGAAAATCATCTCGAAAATCTAAAGAGACGTCAAGAACTACGCACTAACACTGATTCAGTGCCTACCTGCGCATGTAGACGATCAAAATAAAATAGAGCCGAGGAATCAGTGAGATTTGAACAAAATAATATTCGCTTTATTAACTTTGCCGCTCATGTATGGGTGCAAAGGTAAGTTTGTTCTAGCGTTCAAAACTCATACCTGCATACTTGAAAACTTTTAAAATGAGGAAGAGAGAGAAAACTGACCGATAAATTCAGCACAATATTAAAAGGTAACACAACTGTTATAGTGCGCGTAGTTTTACTATTTACGGGTTTTAACAGCTCTTAAATGGGGGCCCCATTTTTTGGTCGAATTTAAATCTCGAAAATAATCAATTTTATCGTCCCGGGATGTTGGTGCTCCTTGAACAAGTCCTACGTTCTGTTCGATTTCTATTTTTGCTTACATTCGCCGCTTGTCTTTACAAGCTTACTGTGAAACAAAGGACCAATGGCGCATTTTCACTTGCAGATTCGCGGGCGCGAATCCTTAAGTGGTAAAAGCAAGCCCGCAATACTGGAAAGTAGTTAAACATCGCTCACTGATCGGGAAAATACTGTACCTAGAACAATTTTACTTTTATAATGTAATAAAGTTACCTACTATTCGCTACGACCCAAGTAACAAAGGTAACTACTGTTATCCTCCGGCGAAGAGACAAAATGCACGCGCGTTTCCCCATATAGGAATGCACAGGAACACCGTAAAAGTGGACTTCTTGCTGTCTGCTTCAATTCGTAACCGGGTGTCCCAAAGACACGAGCGCCATTTGAACCTCCAGCGTGCACTGTGTACACTCGCGGAATGCCGGAGTCCGGCGTTTCGAATGCGTTCGACGAGTGCACCCGAATGCGTTCGACGAGGGCAGTGGAGACAAAGGCAGCAATAGCTTTACGCCTACCCCCTAATCCTTCCAATCAGAGCTCGGCGTTGAGACGTCACTCTCGTCTCCTCCTCTCCCTCAGTTTCTCGGTGCATAGATTGAACCCGAGCATTGCGTGGACACTCGATTCGGGCTCGTGAGCTCGACAAGCATTCGGGTATAGTGGCTTGTGTCCAATCGCGGCAATGAGGACAATGTCCCGAATCTATATCGATGTCTGGAACTCGACATGTGTCCTCAGGTTTGCCAACCTTAGGGCGTGGCTATGATGCACATTGACGGAACATAATCGGTTCCAGATCACGTGGCCGCTTGACCTGGTTGCGAGTTAAGGAGGTGAACGCTGCTCGTTTTTATTAGTTTTAATCCGCGATTACTGTTGCGCGAAAACAACCCAAGAAACTAATGTGTGTTTTTTAAATTGTAAATAGGTTTTTTTTTCTTTTTTCTTTTTAGAGTTCATGTTTCTTTAAATTTGAAGTGCCCCCCCTCCCCCCCCCCCCTTTTCCCGAATTCGGGGGGTGGGGGTTTTAGTCAGTGTTTTTTGGTGTTTATTTTCAGTGCCAGGCGAGAAATCGGGATTAATCGGGGACTAATGTTACAAAAACAACTGCGTATCTATAAATGCGTGACACCATTTGACGAAGAGTGACTTACAACGACATTACGACCACTTTGGGAACCCAGATTTCGCTGGCCCTCAGGCGGACCATGTTCAGACCGCCGAACTTCTCTGCGTCCCACTTGAGCCGAGGATCCGTCCACGTCTGACCCGAGAACGAAGACCAGTTGAACACGTGTAAGCAAAACAAACTCGCTCAATAAAATGCACAGCCCTTGGCAAAAAGAAAGGCAGTAAACTATATACACCCTTTTCCAAAGTGCACGCCACCTAGTAGCTGCTGCGCCAGTTATCCGAGTCCACCACTCTTTAGGCACGTACACTGATCAGGGATTGGACACGACAGCTACGTCAGCGCCCGGTTCGACTCGGCTCAAACTCAGCTCGAACTCGGCTCGAACTCGGCTCGAACTCGGCTCAAACTCGGCTCGAACTCAGCTCGAACTCGGCTCAAACTGGGCTCAAACTCGGCTCGAACTCGGCTCGAACTCGGCTCGAACTCGGCCCGGGTTAGACTCAGATCTAGTCACACGCTTATAGCCCAACAAGTGGCGACCGCCAATGTTGCTTGACACTCTTTTAAAAAGGAAATTATTTTGCCTTTTTATAAAACAAAAATATGTATATTTTGAGTTTACAAATGGCATATTCAGTGAATCAGTGAAAGCCCACGAAAACAAAATCACTCTAAAAATATATTAAAGTTGTTGTTGTCGTGGTTGCTGTTGTTGTTTTAATGGGACTAGCCAATTTAAAAAAAAAGCGGAACTTGCGTAGGCTTGTTTTTTTTTAGTCTAAGTTTGGGGCCCCATGGGGGCCACTTGAAAAGCGGCCGGATTGGTTAATTAGTCAGCTAATTAATTTGATGCTTCTTATTAACTTTTTAGCTAATTTAGTAAACTTTTCAGTTTTGGGGGCACAGTGTAGTTCGAAATTGATGCCAGACTTCATTACAGTCTTGGCATGACGCAAAATTTTCGATTAGAAAGTTAGTACTTAGTCAGCGATAGACACTTAAATAATACTACAGGAGTAATATGAAGGACGGTTTATCATGCCTAATTTTGCTAGAAAGACGAAGGGCAAAAAAGGCATCAAATTACTGAAGTATGAACGTACCATGCAGGTGTAGGCGTCCGCGTAGAAAAGGTGCCTTTTGGGATTCTGGAAAAAAAGATCAAGGCAATGTGTACATTTCACTTCTCTGATTTTTATTTTAGTGGTAATTTAATTTCAGTATAGTGTTTGTGCAAAGAATCTAGCAGCGCAGTTCTATTTCAATGTTTGTTGTTTAAGACGGAGGAAATGAAAAACATGTGTGCGTGACGCTTATTTACGTGTCTGCTCCTCGTGGGCGCAGACATATTGGTGCTTAGAAGCTAGAAACAGACTTGCCCTCGTTACTTGAAAAATGTAATGGATTACATTTACAAATTACCGAGCCTCAAATGCAACGGATTACCGTTACAAATACTTGCGCTGAAAAGTAACGGATTACTTTACTCCTTACATAACATACTACCTTCATGTTACTTTTTCCGTACACTTATCCAGAAAACAAAAAGAAACAATTTTTATATTTTTCAAAAATCTTCTGCAACACTACTTTTTATTTCTCGTACCCTGTATTCTGGTACTCCTTGTAAAAATAAAATATTGTTTACATTACTCGAAGACGATGCTCTTAGCCTCGCGCCGGGCACTTTCCAGCCGTGCCTCAAAAGCGTGCTAGAATAAAGTAGCGCACAACAAAGACAAAAAGAATTCGACCCCCTCGCGCGAGGCTACATCGTCTGTTATGCGAGTTGTGAACCCGAGAATCTAGGGGGCACGGACCCGCGTTTGATGTCTGCGCAGGTGGCGGGAGACGTCGAAGAAGTTGGAAAGGGTGAAACGGTGTAAAAGACAGGAATAAATAAACACGAAGAGCTTTCTCCTACCCGGGAGAAAAAGAAAAAGACGATGGAAGGCGACGGACAGTCTACTCGTCCTTGTCTTACATGATCTTTGTCTTCCGTATATTTGTACAAGCCTGACCCTTTTTTTTAGTGGTTCTAGTGACCGGTCATACAAAAAATCGTGTTTTCTTTTCAGCTATTCTCCCCTTCCTGATGATTTCTATTTAGTTAAACTTGCTCTCTTTATGCTGCAGAATGCTCTGCTCGTATTCTCCAGTTACTGTATTATGGTCATATTTTTAAAATGAACGAGCAATTAAAGTTATCCGTTACCAATATTTTGAAACGAAATTACATTACAAATTACTTCCGAAAAACGTAACGTGGAAATTACAAAATTACTTGAAAAAGTAACGGATCACAAGTAATCCTTTACTTGTAACGGATTACTTCTCAAGTATGGCTAGAACCACATATCGACACCGTTTGCGAACGTTACCATTCTAAAATTCAATTTTTTGAGCGGTGTTATTTGCATCCCTTGCGAACTGTTTCAGCAAGCAGGACGACGGAAACCATTCCTTGCTTCCTCCTTTAGACACGTCGGCAGAAGCAGCTCTCAATGGCACCGTTGATTCCACGCACTGGTCCTCGAGGTCCTCGAGGGCACAAAACGCCGGATCGAGGAATGGTGGAGGAAAAATAGAGAAACCAAAGGAGTGAAATATGGCTATAGAGCGCAGCTCCGACTCTGCTCACCCGATATAAAGGAAAGAGCCAACTTAATCCAATCCAATCCAATGTCACCGATATGGCTGAAGTGTCAATTCAAATGTGGCCGTTTTACGTGCCAAAGCAACGAAAGTCATCTCCTGGCACGCTCCAGCGGAGGATTAGCTGAGGATTCATTTCGATCACCCGAGGAACCTTTCGACGTGCAGCCTAAATCTCGGCTACATGGCGTCCTTTTCCGCGATAAGCCTCCATCAGAATACGGGCATACCTCGATCGGGATTCGAACCCGCCATTTGGGTGATCCGTGTGGTCCGGCCCCTTGCCTCGGAGTCCCCAAGGCGGTCGCTCATACATCATAAGACACGGCTTTCGGTGCGGACATGATGACATAAGTGTCTGCGGACATAGCTCAAACATGTCCGAAGCAAGTTGCTTCATACACATGTATGCTTTCAACATGTGTGCAGAGAATGTTTGTACAATCAATGTGACCTTTGTATGCGAGGAAGAAACACGCCTCAAAGAGTGCCTGCACACTGTCTTTTGCGTGACGTATAATCATGTCTTAAAGCGTGCGTTTTTTTTTTTTTTTTTTTTAATATATACTTGCCGACAATTTATGAAATGCAGGACGTGACACGTCGAAAGGTTCTTGTTATGGCTTCGCAGCCAACGAGTGTGCTTTGTGAGCCGATAAAACCGGCGAAGAGCGAATCACGAACCAAGAAGTAGACCGAGTCCCGCGTTGCTTAAGGTGTCGGCGACTGTATCTAGTGAGTCTACAGCTCACGTACCAGGACGGGGACGTCAAGTAGACCCAGGGAGAAGCGGACCTGCGTCGTCTCGTTGGGTCCGGACATGGGCCGAACCCCGGTGTCGTACTTCTTCTCGAGCAGCAGGAAGGACCGAAGGCGTCGGTCATTCTCGGCCTTCGACTCGTCGGTCGCTTTGTCAAAAAAAAAAGCAAAAAAAAAAAAAAAAACAATTACCATACATAGCGATAAAAAAATATTTACCAACATTAAAAAAATTATAGCTCTTTAAAAAAATTAATTTAGTAAGAGAAAGTATGGAGGCAAGTTGGTTAGGGAACATCATGCTCTAAACTTCGAGGTTTTGTGTCGTCTTGTCTGCTATTTTATTCCTTTTCTTTTTTTTTCTTTTTTTTTTTTTTGTTTAGGGGTTTTAAGATATAAAATTAAATTTGTTTCTCATCGAATAATAATCTAGAGTTTCAGTTTCTACTTCTCTTACAATTTTCTGTTTCATCTGCACTCTTAGTCAAGAGGCAATGTGTGCGTGTACGTACGCGAGTGCGTGTGCGCGTTTGCATTTTGAACACAGAACTGCGAGTTCGCACGGAGTTGGCGTTAGGTCAAATAACGTCTGCTCGTTCAACTACAAAGTGCTATTCATTGCGTGAAACATTGCCAGCTCATGCTATGTACACAGCGCGGCACTGTTTGCGCGAACAAGCGATCGCCAGTTTTTACTGTGTTTTTGTTTTCTTTCGAAGTTGAACAACGACCGTAAAAACAAGGCTGAAAGTCATCTTTCAAGGAAGTCACTTGAGTGGCAACCACCAGTACTTCGTTTGAATAAAATACCGAAAAGTGCCGACGGCATGTTCGCGCTAACAGTGTTGCGGAGTGTACCTTCGATCAACCTAAAAACAACAACTGTTTCAGTTTAAAAACCGGCTGCCCAAGCATGCTTGAGAAGAGTGTTGGTCAATTTATTTACATAACACTAAAACGAACAAAAAAGCATTGTAAAGAAAAACCGCTACACGGCCTTTGAGTTTTTAAATTTACTTCAGTAAACTAAAGTTGAGGGAATGACATCACTTATAAATTATTTGTCTTTTTTTCTAAAACACAGTTTGATTAAGTAACCTCGCGTTGTTTAATAAAATTCCGTTGAAGGCGACGAGCGACCAGTCTCCTTCATGGTGCCGACAGAGAAGAGTGCGCAGAGTTTTTCGCACTCCAAAAATCTATACGTACTACGCATTGCTGAAAACGGGGAATCTGCAGTCCGAATGTATTGGCAAAGCCTCGGAACATCACGTTTCCAAATTTAAAGGCAAATGGCGATATATTTTTATTATTTTCATTAAGATGTGGAAGCAGTTTTCGGTCAGCAGATGCTTTGTATCTCCATGCGTTCACAGTCTCTGCTGGACGCCATTTTCTCATGGCGACTTGAATCTTCCTAAGAGTTAATTGCTAAGTATAAACAGCTACAGTATCTCTTGAGTGCAAATTGTGCCTAGAGTATGTGACTGCCATATCTTCTGACATATGAAAAGAGCAGTGTCACATGTAGACTATATGAAGTTTGTATACACTGTAATATACATCGGCTGTTTTAAAGATATTCCGAATTCGTTAACGTATGAGTCGAACATGCCTTTAAATTCTACACTCACATCTGTGTCAACTCAAGGAGAAATCGGCACTGCAGAGCCAGAATTCGACGTTTTCTTTCATATATTTTTTTTTATTTAATAATAAAGAACAGATACTTTAGCCGGTGAGCGCCAGCATTTAGTAAACGTTCATCTGCCAGTGGTACAGCCAGCGGCAATACAAGCCGACCCAAGTTAGTGCTAACCGAAAGGGTTTAAGTGTCGCACGGGGTGCCTCCGGCATACTGCCACCAACTGCCGCATTAAGACAATAAGAAATGTAACTATCCGACAGCGAATGTTTTTTTGCACGGCATTGGGGAGTTTTTGTAGACCGCGTTTCTGCCTCCGCTAAGCCCTTCGCAATGAAGAAGCCGCTACTGCGCCTGTGCGCCGATGGCCTTCACTGTAGAGTTACGGGTTTCGTAGCGGGTCGCGGAGAGCGTCGCGGGACGGCGAAAACCACCTACGAAAACTCCCTGTTGTGAGGCCCCGGCCTGAACGTCCAAATGCCTTGCGCCTGACGTCACGCCGCGATGCCCCGCCCCCCATCGCCATTGCTCCGTACCACCGGAGGACCGGAGAACCTACAACGCGTAGTGGACGGCGTGTTTCGGCCGACCGTAACGTGTTTACGCAGTTTGAGAGCGTGACGTTTTTTTTTGTGTGTGTGTGTTTGTTGTTCTTCGCACAATTTGTAAACAAATCGTTTCAGTCTATTTTTACCAGCGCCTACGGGCTAAATATGCCGTCGCCGGAGGAGCGGACGTTGCCGCTCTGCGGAGATTATTTCGACGAGCTCGTTGGACCTACGAGAGCGAGATACGCGAAGAAGGTGGAACTTTGCGACGGCGAGGATCCCTACAAACTTCGCGTCGGCGTGGACACGACATTCGACGCCTCCTTTTTCCCTAACGCAACTCGCTCAGCCTCCAGCGCTGCGACTCGAGGCTGAGCGATCTCCTTCGTCCGTGTAACCGAGCTTCAAACTCGGCGCCCAGTCAGGGTTCCTGTCATCGAACAACTTAGAAGGAGCTCCTGTAAAACAAAGAAAAAACGCCAATCGCTGACGCGCTCACGTTCGCGAAACTCGGCGCAGCAGACAATGCTGCGCCAAGTTTTACATTCAATTTTCCGACAGCAACCAGGTGAACGCGTCCCGAAAACGGAGAACGACAAGAAGCATTTCTTACCTGTGACAAAGTGCTCACTGCACACCTGTGTGTTCAAGTTCGCGACCAGGTCGGCCCTGTTAATCTTCGCAAACCACATGCTCCTTCGCTTCAGTTCGTGTGTCCGCCGACACTGAGCGGAGATCACCTTCGGTATAGTTTGAAAAATCTCGCATCACTGACGGTGTTACGATCACGACGCTTGTTGCTCTTAGTCCTGTTTGCACAATTAATAACCGCACATGCAACCATTATAGCGAAACCTTCGCTCAGCGAGGCAAACTCACGGCGACTCCAGGGAACTTCCTATGTGGCGATGACGATTTGGTACGGCGTCATGGCGACGGCCCTCTCAGCATGCAATTTTAATGACGTATGTGCAAGGCATGTATAGTCTAGCTCATGCTGCAGCATCCTGTATATCGTCCCGGTTCGTCCGAAATGGTTAGCTTGAGTGTCAGCATACACCACTCTAGAAACGCTCTTCTGGCAGGCGCCATTTTCTGTGGTTATCCGCGTGCCTTGTTCGATTTCCGGAGCGAGGCATGTGCGCACGCTTGGATGTGGTTACCGCACGCTATAGGCTGTGAATGCGTAAACGTTAGAGGGGCGAGTGTTTGAAAGTACCGTTTTGCGAAGAGGCGACCCAGACGACGTATCCCAGGATCGTGGCCAGGCGAAGGAAACGGTGCTTGGCCGTCATTTTCAACGAGCGTCCCCGACCGAAAGGAGTGTTTTTCTTCTTCGGGAGAAGGTCTCGCCTTTCTCAGGAGGCGTGTTCTAACCAGAGATCGTCTCGATGACGCCCCCGAGCTCACGAAACAGAACCCGTCCTCCGGTTGCGAAAGCGGTGACGTGGGACCGCAGCGAAAGCTTGCAATCGTTACGGTGAAGCGTTTAGAAATGAGGGACCGCAAAATATAACGAGGTATACATCTATAAACATCGGCGATAATGTGTCTTGATAAGTCCAATCACCCTGTATCTTGCTATTCTATGGGAGTTTTGACTTCAGTAAACATTGTTACAATTCCATCATGCATTAATTTGCGTGGGCTCGTGGAACAGTCTTCTATATGGCAGAATTATCCTCTCATAACTTACGATATAAAGTATAATGAAATGCTTTCAAAGTCGGTTGTATAAGAAAGCTTCTCAAGATGCCATCGAACAGGCAAAGGTAAAACCAGCTGGCAAGTTTCCCTCAGGTGCATTGCTGCAGGTATAAGTCAGACGCAGATTGCTCGCAGTAATGACAGCGTACACATACAAGCAACACTGGTACCAAGTAGAACGTCCGTTACTCACCAAAGTACTCCATTATCCCCCTAGGGCGTGCTGCAGGCTGTGCATTTGTGAAGAGTGTAATCTGCAGTGCTGAAGACAAAACGACAGCGAGCACGTGGCTTTGCAAGAACCCTCGATTGGTGAGTTCTAGTACAAAATAAAACATCTTCACATGCTAAGCTCGTGCGATTGTGTCTTTGTCTTAGAGCCAAAATGATACGTTCTTTTAGACCCTTTCTGTATAGTTGTATGTTCATGTTTTTACTTGCATTTTTAACATAATTTATCACCTCTTCTATAGCTTTCAGTTGAGCCGTAGTATACCTAATATAAATAAATACCAGAGTCAAGTGATGTTTGCCAGCTTTCTTTCTATTTATTTACAACCTCCTTTTGCATATTCAGTCCAATCTATCTTACGTAACGACAGTAATTTAGTTTTCCCCTCACGTCTTAGTTAAACATTGTAAATCTCAAGGACTGTCTTTAACAAACAAAACAGATTTTTCTGAACTGAAACTTTTCTTAACGGGTTTTATTTTTCCTATTTTCAAAAGTGCGGTTTTTCAGTGAATCTTATTTTTTTAGCATACACGCTTTTGTTTACAAATTAATTCGCATTTTTACATCGCACAAGTTTTCTGCAATACCTCCCCGCACAAATAAAAGCTTGTAAAGGATTCTTGTAAAGCTTGCGCAGATGCAACCGCGCGTTCCATACTTTTTGGTGTTTTTGTCAGCGTTCCAAGACAATGAAAGTCGCAAGGCCGACGACCAGACCCGAGATTCTGCAAGGCAGACGATCCTCGTCGCCATAGGGGAGGAGGAAACAGGCAACGGTTGAATGGGTGGAAGGGGGGCAAGGAGGAAGAGGGGGAAAAGTGGAAAGCGCGAACTGGTCGTCGGCATTTACGACATAAGACGTATCTTTGACGGATGTTATTATTACGCCAAATGGCAAACAGACTCCTGCATTATTATAAAATATATCCCTAGGGAGTCCGTGACGTCATCACAATCGTGAAAAGGAGGTGGGGAATGGGGAGAGAGAAAGGGA